ACTCGCCAGCTCTAGCCTTGGTTTCCTAACTGGAAAGTGGGGGATTAGTATGTATGAAGTGCCTAGATCAGCGCTGGCTGGACACGGTGGCTCACGCCGGCTCATGCCTGTAATCTCAGCACTTTGAGAGGCTGAGGCGGGCGAATCTCCTGAGGTCAGGAGTTTGAGACTAGCCTGGCCAACATAGTGAAACCCTGTCTACTAAATATACAAAAATCAGTGGAGTGTGGTGGCATGCACCTGTAATGTCAGCTACTCGGGAGGCTGAGGCAGGAGAATCATTTGAACCTGAAGGCAGAGGTTGCAGTGAGCCAGTGCAGCTGCACTCCAGCCTGGGGACAGAGCCAGACTCTGTCTCAGAACAAAACAAAAGACCAGGTGTGGTGTGACTCATGCCCGTAATCCCAGGACTTTGGGAGGCTGAGGCTGGCTGATAACTTGAGGTCAGGAGTTTGAGATAAGCCTGGCCAACATGGTGAAACCCTGACTGTACTAAAAATACAAAAAAATTAGCCAGGCATGGTGGCCAGCGCCTGTAATCTCAGCTGCTCCAGAGGCTGAGGCATGATAATTGCTTGAACCCAGGAGGTGGAAGTTGCCGTGAGCTGAGATCGCACCACTATACTCCAGACTAGCCCACATCTGCCTGGTATATCCACCCCCTCCTCCCCCAGGTCCCTGGGCCCTCAGAAAAAAAGAAGTGTCTGGCACACAGAAAATGCTCAGTGAAGGTAGCCATTATTGTTGCTGTTACTGAGAAACAGGAACTTGAGAAAGGGGCTTTGAGTCAGGCTACCCCATCCCCTCCCCTAACCCCTGCTGCTGGAGTTCGAGAGCCTGTGTCCATCAAGAATCCTGAATTGTGCATGCATGCGCGCACACACACACACACTCTCTCTCTCTCTCTCTCTCTCTCTCTCTCTCTCTCACAGGGTCTCACGCTGGGTTTTTCCATCCATGAAATGTGACACTCTTAATGTCCCTAGCAGCCCTCTGTTGACAAGAGGGCCTCAGAGCTGGTGGCTCTGGTTCTCTTCCCCTGGGAGAGACTTCACCATCCTGGCAAGAGTTGCGGGGAGCCCTTCCCCAAGTGTGAGCAGCACCCCTCTTCTCTGGATCCTAGGGTCAGGTGGTGAGGCCTCTTGCCCACATCTGCCTGGTATATCCACCCCCTCTTCCCCCAGGTCCCTGGGCCCACTCACAGCTGATTCCTGCCAAGTCCTGCCGGGCCGCCTGGCACCAGCCCCCTGCCCTGGGGCCAGCTCCCTGCTGCTGCTGCGGCTGCCCCTGCCCTGCCAGCTCTGGCAAGCCAGGTCCCTTTGTTCCTCCAGTCCTGGCTCCTGACTTCCTGAGGTGCTGGGAGGGGAGGGCCTTACCTGCCTGCTGTCAATCGGGCCACCAGGTGAAAAGTGTAAACTTCCTCAGGGAGCTAAGACTCACCCAAGGAGACAATGATGAGCGCTGCAGAGTGGGTCTTGCTTCTGCGGCTGGGAGGCCAGAGAGGGCAGAAGGCTTCATAGAGGTGGAAGGGACGTCATTGTCACTGGCCCTGGGACCTGGAGGAAGGTTACAGAAAGAAGACACAGGCTGGGTTTGCTGGCTCATGCCTGTATTCCTAGCACTTTGGGAGGCTGAGGTGGGAAGATTGGTTGAGGCTAGGAGTTCCAGACCAGCCTGAGCAACATGGTGAAACCTCATCTCTACTAAAAAAAAATAGCTGGGCATGGTGGTGTGCACCTGTAGTCCCTCGAGCTGCTCAGGAGGCTGAGGTGGGAGGATCACCTGTGTGCAGGAAGTCGAGGCTGCAGTGAGCCATGATTGTACCACTGCACTCCAGTCTGGGCAATGGGAGTGAGACTGGGTCTCCAAAACAAAAACAAAACCCCAAAAAAACAAAAACAAAACCCCAAAAAAACAAAAACAAGAAAGGGGACACAGAGGGAGCCATGGTAGGATGGGAGGAGCCCAGCAAGGAGAGACACCCCCAGTTGGAAGGGGGCCCGCATGGTGGAGAGGGATGAGTATATTGCCTGCCAGATCAGAGAGGGCGTTGTATGCCATCCCAGTAATATTTCTTTCTTTTTTTTTTTTTTTGGAGACAGAGTCTTGCTTTGTTGCCAGAGCTGGAGTGCAGTGGCGTGATCTTGGCTCACTGCAACCTCCACCTCCTGGGTTCAAGCAGTTCTCCTGTCTCAGCCTCCCAAATAGCTGGGACTATAGGCACACGCCACCACGCCCAGCTAATTTTTATATTTTTAGTAGAGATGGGGTTTCACCATGTTGACCAGGCCGGTCTTGAACTCCTGATCTCAGGTGATCTGCCTGCCTCAGCCTCCCAACGTGCTGGGATTACAGGCATAAGCCACTGTGCCTGGCCTTCAGTAATACCCCTCTTCATGCGTGTCAAGCATCCCAATAAGGATTTTACATGGTTGGTATCATTTAATTACTCCAGCAGCCCTGAGAAGTAGGTGCTATTATTATCCCTGTTTCCAAGGGGGAAACTGAATCTCAGAAGGGATAGGGACTTGCCCCAGGTTACACAGCTGGTAAGGAGCAGAGCTAGGATTCTAACCAGGCAGGCTAGCTCCAGACTCCTCCCTTCTCAGAGAACACAGCCTCAAAGTGTGCTCTGGGAGGAATTTCCCCAGGGCTCTCTGAGATGCTCTCTGGGGAGTTGTTTCCAGAAGGTTCTGTTGCAGAGGCAGGCCACACTACAGAGCCTGGGAGAGGTTCCTTGTTAAAATGTAGGAATGGGGCCAGGTGTGGTGGCTCACACCTTTAATCCCAGCTCTTAGGGAGGCTAAGGTGGGTGGATCACCAGGTCAGGAGTTCGAGACCAGCCTGGCTAATGTGGTGAAACCTGGTCTCTAATAAAAACACATGTAATCCCAGCACTTTGGGAGGCTGAGGTGGGTGGATCACGAGGTCGAGAGATCGAGACAATCCTGGTCAACATGGTGAAACCCCGTCTCTACTAAAAAATACAAAAATTAGCTGGGCGTGGTGGCATGTGCCTGTAATCCCAGCTACTCAGGAGGCTGAGGCAGGAGAATTGCTTGAACCCAGGAGGCGGAGGTTGCGGTGAGCCGAGATCGCGCCATTGCACTCCAGCCTGGGTAACAAGAGTGAAACTCTGTCTCAAAAAAAAACACACACACACACAAAAAAAACACAAAAATTAGCCCGGCTTGGTGGCTCATGCCCATAATCCCAGCTACGCAAAAGGCTGAGGCAGGAGAATTGCTTGAACCCAGGAGGCGGAGGTTGCAGTGAGCTGAGATCATGCCACTACACTCCAGCCTGAGTGACAGAATGAGACTCCATCTCAAAAAAAAAAAAAAAAAAAAAAGTAGGAATCGTTGCTCTGGCCAAAGGTCAGGAGTGGACCAATGGATTTCAAGTCAGTTTCTACTCTGGGCCAACTCATTGGTTATATCAGCCTCAAGCATGGCATTGGAAGAATCCAGAGCCATGTGATAACTCAGCAGGAAAGACTGGGATAGATTAGTAATGTCTGCCCTGAGTGCAGGTGTGGAGGGCACGGACCTGTGAGCCATGTATTTGCCATCCTGGGCTAACGTCCGTCACTGGCCAGAGAGATCTTCCTGGTGGTCCACATTCAGAGTAAATTCTTTTCCTCACGCCCTCTGAAGCCAGAAACTCAGTCCTATAATGCAGGGTATAGACACCTTCTGTCTATGGCACATGCTTTATACGCTGTAGAAACGTTGGTCAGTGTATTTGTTTTATGTTGCTGTAAAGAAGTACCCGAGGCTGGGTAATTTCTCAAGAAAAGAGGTTTATTTGGCTCACAGTTCTGCAGGCTGTACAAGCATACCACCAGCATCTGCTCTGCTTCCAGCGAGGCCTCAGGAAGCTTATACTCATGGCAGAAGATGAAGCGGGAGTAGGCATATCACATGGTGAGAGCCGTAGCAAGAGAGAGGAGGAAGTGCAAGCCTCTTTTAAAAAACCAGCTCTTGGCTGGGCATACTGGCTCACGCCTGTAATCCCAGCACTTTGGGAGGCCGAGGTGGGTGGATCATTTGAGGTCAGGAGTTTGAGACCAGCCTGGCCAGCATGGTGAAACTCCACTGCTATTAAAAATATAAAAATTAGCCGGCCGTGCTGGCGGGTGCCTGTAGTCCCAGCTACTCAGGAGGCCGAGGCAGGAGTATCGCTTTAACCTGGGAGGTGGAGGTTGCAGTGAGGCAAGATCACGCCATTGCACTCCAGCCTGGTGACAGAGTGAGACTCCATCTCAAAAAAAAAAAAACAAAAAAACAGCTCCCTTGGCCAGGCATGGTGACTCCTATAATCCCAGCACTTTGGGATGCTGAAGCAGATCACCAGATCTGGGTCAGCGGTTCAAGACCATTCTGACCAACATGGCGAAAACCCATCGCTACTAAAAATACAAAAATTAGTCAGGCATGATGGCACATGTCTGTAGTCTCAGCTATTTGGGAGACTAAGGCAGGAGAATATCTTGAACCCAGGAGGTGGAGGTTGCAGTTAGCTGAGATCATGCCACTGTGCTGTAGCCTGGGTAACAGAGTAAGACTCCATCTCAAAGACAAACAAATAAACAAACAAACAAACAAAACACAACCAGCTCTCACGTGAACTCAGAGCAAGAACTCATTACCAAGGAGATGGTATCAAGCCATTCATGAGAGATCTGTCCCCATGACCCAAACACCTCCCACTGGGCCCCACCTCCAACATTGGGGATCACATTTCAACGTGCGATTTGGAGGCAACAAATATCCAACTCGCTATCAGTCATTACTGGGTGGAGGGAGCGCTGAAGAAGACTCGGGAGACCTGGGTTATTTTCTCTCCATTATCCCTTCCTCCCTGGGCCCTGTTCTGTAATGGGTTGCATGAAGACACTGCCTGCTAGGATTTGACAGGTCACTGGGACCAAAGACTCCTCCTCCCTGTCACTTCCTTCATCCTCCATTCCCATTCACCATACCCTCCTCTGTCTGCAGACAACCTTTTAGTCATCACGGTGGCCACTAAGGAGACCGAAGGGTTCCGCCGCTTCAAGCGCTCAGCCCAGTTCTTCAACTACAAGATCCAGGTAAGGGGCTTCCTGGGCGAGGCAGAGACAGTGAGGAGTGGCAGAAGAAGCTAGGAGCTGATGTCCTTTCCAAACCACCACGGCTTTTGAGATAGACTTGGGGCCACAGGGGAGGCTTATGGAAGCCTGAAGGGTGAAAATGAGTTAGTCAGGGATGGGAAGACATGGCAGAGGACACAGCATGAGTCTCGGGGGTGATGGAGAAGGACAGAGTTGGCTAGAGAAGTGTCCAGATGCCTCACCTGAGAGGCTAGTTGAGAGAACAGGGCCTTGGGATCAGCATTTCCACAAGCTTCTCCAGGGGTTGCAGATGGGCATGGTCTAGACACCTTCCCTGTTCTAAAGAAACGTGAGTGGTTGCCTGGGTGTAGTGACTCACGCCTGTAATCCCAGCACTTTGGGAGGCTGAGGCGGGTGGATCACCTGCGGTCAGGAGTTGGAGACCAGCCTGGCCAACATGGTGAATCCCTGTCTCTACTAAAAATATAAAAACTAGCTGGGCGTGGCAGCACATGCCTGTAATCCCAGCTACTCAGGAGGCTGAGACAGGAGAATCACTTGAACCCAGGAGGCATAGGTTGCAGTGAACCGAGATTGCTCTGCTGCATTCCAGCCTGGTGACAGTGAGACGCCGTCTCAAAAAAAAAAAAAAAAAAAAAAAAAATTAGCTGGGCATGGTGGCACATGCCTGTAGTCCCAGCTACTTGGGAGGCAGGGACTACCTCCTGAGGCAGGAGAATTGTTTGAAGCCAGGAGGCGGAAGTTGCAGTGAACAGAGATGGCATCCGTGGACTCCAGCCTGGGCAACAGAGTGAGACCCTATCTCAAAAAAAAAGAAAAGAAAAGAAAAGAAAGAAACATGAGCTAATGCCCAGTCGATCACTGGCATGGGCTTGGTGTTCTCTGTGTGCAGTCCATGGGGCTGAGTCCTGCAGGGAGACGAGTATCCTGAGTGCTTCCTTATGTCAGGCACAAGGTTGGGCATTGGCAATAGGGTGATGGACAAGACAGAACATGCCATTGCCTACATAGAGTTTGCAATCTGGTGGCATTAAGCCAGCAAACAGGTATATTAGCTCACATGAATGAGGGTTGAAGCAGAGGGTTGCTTCAGGTATGGCTGGATCCAGGGGTTCAAGCAGCAAAGTGAGGGCCTTGTCTTTCCATCTCTAGGCCCTGTTTTCATCGTGGTGGCAAGCTGACCACCAGACCACCAACCAGACTCATGTGCCCCAGCTTCTCAACTTCAGCAGGAGACAGCCTTTCCTTTTTAGGAAATGTTTTGTAGACTGTTCTGTATTTTATTTGTTTGTTTGAGATGGAGTCTTGCTGTGTCACCCAGGCTGAAGTGTAGTGGTGTGATCTCAACTCACTGCATCCTCCACCTCCCGAATTCAAGCTATTCTCCTGCCTCAGCCTCCTGAGTAGCTGGGATTACAAGCATGCACCACCATGCCTGGCTAATTTTTGTATTTTTGGTAGAGACAGGGTTTCACCATGTTGGTCAGGCTGGTCTCAAACTCCTAACCTCATGATCTGCCTGCCTCAGCCACCCAAAGTTCTGGGATTACTGGGGTGAGCCACTGCGTAGGGCCGACTGTTCTGTTTTTAACAGAAAGAGCCCCAGGGAAGGTGCCCATAGGCCATGCTGGGGTCATGTGCTCAAATTTCTAGGTGTGGGAGGAGCAGAAAGGGTAGGACATTCTAATTGGCCACACATGGTCACATGACCACCAGGTGCCAGGTGAGCCTCATTCAGCTGGAGAATGGTTTTCTTACAGGGAAGGATCAGAGTTGCTGGACCCACAGAAGCAAAAAAAATCTTTCTTTCTTTCTTTCTTTTTTTAAATCCTTGAGATGGAGTCGCTCTGTCACACAGGCTAAAGTGCAATGGTGTGATTTTGGCTCACTGCAACCCCCACCTCCCAGGTTCAGGTGATTCTCCTGCCTCAGCCTCCAGAGTAGCTGAAATTAGAGGTGTGCGCTACCACACCCGGCTAATTTTTGTGGTTTTTTTTTTTTTTTTTTTTTTGAGACGGAGTTTTGCTCTTGTTACCCAGGCTGGAGTGCATCTCGGCTCACCGCAACCTCCGCCTCCTGGGTTCAGGCAATTCTCCTGCCTCAGCCTCCCGAGTAGCTGGGATTACAGGCACGCGCCACCATGCCCAGCTAATTTTTTGTATTTTTAGTAGAGACGGGGTTTCACCAGGTTGACCAGGATGGTCTCGATCTCTCGACCTCGTGATCCACCTGCCTCGGCCTCCCAAAGTGCTGGGATGACAGGCGTGAGCCACCGCGCCCGGCCATTTTTGTGTTTTTAGTAAAGACGGGATATCTCCAAGTTGGCCAGTCTGGCCTCGAATTCCTAACCTTAGGTGATCCACATGCCTTGGTTTCCCAAAGTGCTGGGATTGCAGGTCTGAGCCACCGCGCCCGGCCCTGGAAAAATATTTTTTTACCAGAAGCTAAGGTGTGTTTCTCTCCAGTCGCTTGGCCTAGGGGAGGACTGGAATGTGGAGAAGCGGACGTCGGCAGGTGGAGGGCAAAAGGTCCGGCTGCTGAAGAAAGCCCTGGAGAAGCACGCAGACAAGGAGGACCTGGTCATTCTCTTCACAGACAGGTAGGTGGGCCGGGGCTTCCTGGCCTGGGCCCCTCTGAGGATGACAGAAGAATTCTAAAATGAGGCCCTCCGAGAACATCAGGGAAGAAGGGGGACAACTCTGGCTAAGGTTGCCTACAGTTGTAGGGTGTCCATTCCCAGGCTTGGTGAAAAGGAGGTGACCCAGGAGTGTGATGGCCCCACTTTAAGTCAGAGAAGATGACATGTTATGGGGACCATCTCTCTGCCCAGCGTAGGGGTGGGAACATGGCAGGCAGGGCTGCAGACAGAGGCAGGTCCATTTCCCAGATGGTGGCCCAGGCTGGCGTGGGCAGAGGGCCATTTGTGGAGAGCTTGATCCTTGCTCCTCCAGTCTGTGCCCTCGCTGGGTCCCTGCTCACCCCTGCCCTGCCCCATCTTCTTGCTGTTCTGGCCACAGCTATGATGTGCTGTTTGCATCGGGGCCCCGGGAGCTCCTGAAGAAGTTCCGGCAGGCCAGGAGCCAGGTGGTCTTCTCAGCCGAGGAGCTCATCTACCCAGATCGCAGGCTGGAGGCCAAGTATCCGGCGGTCTCCGATGGCAAGAGGTTCCTGGGTTCTGGAGGTGAGAGGCCTGGGTGCAGGGTGCTTGGCCCAGCGGAGGGGCCCATCCACTGCCTTTGTGAGGACCCCACTTGTTTGACGTTCAGTGTGGGTGTCTCATAGGTCTCCAGAACGTTCTGAATAGAGCTCCTGACTTTTCAACCCCAAATGTGTTCCCCTGCGGTTTTCCTCATCTCATTCAGCAGACGCCCAGCCCCACGGACAGAACCCAGGAGTCACTCCTGACTCCTCCTTTGCCAGTCACCTGTCTAACCTGTCTAATACTTCCTTTTTTTTTTTTCTTTTTTTTGAGACAGAGTTTTGCTCTTGTTGCCCAGGCTGAAGTGCAATGGCGCCTTACCTCTGCCTCCCTGGTTCAAGCGATTCTCCCACCTCAGCCTCCCAAGTAGCTGGGATGACAGGCGTGTGCCACCACATCCAGCTAATTTTGTATTTTTAGTAAAAATGGGCTTTCTTCATGTTGGTCAGGCTGGTCTCAAACTCCCGACCTCAGGTGATCTGCCTGCCTTGGCCTCCCAAAGTGCTGGGATTATAGGTGTGAGCCACCGCGCCTGGCCAATTTTTGTATATTTAGTAGAGGTGTGGTTTCACCATGCTGGCCAGTCTGGTCTCGAACTCCCGGCCTCAAGTGATCCATCCACCTCGGCCTCGCAAAGTGCTCGGATTATAGATGTGAGTCACCATACCTGGTTACCTGCCTCCTACTTCCGAAAGATCTCTGGAATCTGCCATCTCCTGCCCACAGTTCACTGCCACCATTCTCACTGGGCTCCTGGCCGTCACTAAGAGTTTCCTTACTGCTCTACCAATCACTGCCCTCATGCCTTTCCAGGGCATTCTCCATCCAGCAGCTAGAGGGGTCTTGATGTAAATCCAAGGCTGGGCACAGTGGCTCATGCCTGTAATCTCAACACTTTGGGAGGCCAAGGAGGGTGGAACACTTGAGGTCAGGAGTTTGAGACCAGCCTGGCCAACATGGCAAAGTCCCGTCTCTATTAAAAATACAAAAATTAGCCAGGCCTGATGGTATATGCCTATAATCCTAGCTACTTGGGAGGCTGAGGCAAGAGAATCGCTTTAACCCAGGAGGTGGAGCTTGCAGTGAGCCGAGATTGTGCCCTTGCTCTTAAAAAAATAAATAAATAAAAAAGATGCAGATCCACACATCACTTAATGATTTTCCACTACATGGAGAATAAAATCCACAGGTCTCTTTTCAACCTCAGATGGAGGTCTGCCCTCAACAGATACTTTTCTCCATTGGTTCAGAGGAAGCACAGTCCACATGGCCTTGCCCTGGCTCAGGAGTAGTGGGGTCCCGTTGCTCTTCTGCTTGCCTCTCACCAATCTGTACTCTAGGCAGGGCCCAGGTGGCTTCCCCACTATGCCAGGTCTCAGCCTTCAAGGCATTGTGTGAGCTTGGCCCAGCCTTGCCCTTCTCTGGGCCAGGTTTCCCAGATAACTGCAAGAAGGGGCACCAGGCCTGTACCCTCCGAGCCCTGCTCTCTGGGGGCTCCTGGATCAATCCATTTCTTTGCCACGTACATGGTGCCCAGCAGTGAACAGTACAGCTTAGCGGGCACCATTGGTCTTATTCTTGGGGTCAGTAGGAACTCATTAATAAGTGGCATTCACTGGCAGGCCCATTTCCAACCTGCACACCCATCTCCTGTCAATTCAGGAGGACTTCTGAGAGGTGGCAGGGTTTGTGGGCATATGAGTGAAGGTGGATGAGCTGAAAGGGTGGAGGAGACCCCTGGCTTAGAGGCTGGAAGCCAAGGGTCTCTTTTGGTGTCTCCAACCACCAACCTCTAGGCTTCATCGGTTATGCCCCCAACCTCAGCAAACTGGTGGCCGAGTGGGATGGCCAGGACAGCGACAGTGATCAGCTGTTTTACACCAAGATCTTCTTGGATCCGGACAAGAGGGTAAGAGGTAGTGGGCGGGCCAAGGAGAGGGGGCTGGGGGTCCATCGGCCAGGCTCTGCGGGAACAGCGCCTCTCAGCGGGAATTTACTTATTTATTTATTTATTTTTGAGATGGAGTCTCGCATTGTCACCAGGCTGGAGTGCAGTGGCGTGATATCAGCTTACTGCAATCTCTGCCTCCTGGGTTCAAACAATTCCCCTGCCTCAGCCTCCCAAGTAGCTGGGACTACAGGTGCGCACCACCATGCCCAGCTAATTTTTTGTATTTTAGTAGAGATGGGGTTTTATCATGTTGGCTAGGATGGTCTCAATCGCCTGACCTCGTGATCCTCCCGCCTTGGCCTCCCAAAGTGCTGGGATTACAAATGTGAGCCACTTCGCCCAACCCATTTTTGTATTTTTAGTAGAGATGGGGTTTCAACCATGTTGGCCAGGCTGATCTTGAACTCCTGATCTCAAGCGAGCCACCTGCCTTGGCCTCCCAAGTGCTGGGATTACAGGTGTGAGCCACCACATCTGGCCTGGGTGTTGGTTTTGATAATCCATAAAATGGAAGCAGTTGAGCTTGTATGGTGGAAACCATAAACTTGATCTTTTTGTTACCTCAGTCCTTCCCCCTCCTTCCCCTTTGCCTCCAGTGACATCCTTCACAGAACTAGAGCTGCCCTATATGGGATGAGGGATAAGCCTCGAGTGACATCTGCCCTTCCTTGCCCTGCCTAGGGCCCCATGAGACACAATTTAGTCTTTCTTTTTTTTGGAGACAGGATCTCGCTCTGTTGCCCAGGCTGGAGTGCAGTGGTTCGGACATGGCTTATTGCATCCTTGGCCTCCTGGGCTCAAGCCATACTCTCACCCAGCCTGAGTAGCTGGAACCACAGGCGCACCACCACGCTCCGGCTAATTTTTGTATTTTTTGTAAAGATGGGGTCTCGACATGTTGCCCAGGCTGGTCTTGAACTTCTGGGCTGAAGGACCCACCCACCTCAACCTCCCATAGTGCTGGGATTACAGATGGGAACCACCGCACCTGGCTGACACAGTCAGGGTTTTTTTTTTTTTTTTTTTTTTCTTTTGAGGTGGAGTTTCAACTCCTGTCATTCAGGCTGGAGTACAATGGCACAATCTTGGGTCACTGCAACCTCCACCTCCTGGGTTCAAGTGATTCTCCTGCCTCAGTCTCCCAAGTAGCTGGGATTACAGGTGCATGCCGCCATGCCCAGCTAATATTTGTATTTTTAGTAAAGATGGGGTTTCACCATGTTGGCCAGGCTGGTCTCGAACTCCTGTCCTCAGGTGATTCACCTGCCTCAGCCTCCCAAAATGCTGGGATGAAAGCACCATGCCTGGCCTTTGGGTCTTAAAGACACAGCATTGTCCCGTGGTTTAGAATAAGGACTTCAGGGCCAGGCTGCCTGGATTCTAATTCCATCTCACCATTTATTAGCTATGTAACATTGGGCAACTTCTCTGTGCCTTGTTTTTTCAGTTATAAATTACAATAATGAGCCAGCACAGTGGTTCACGTCTGTAATCCCGATGTTTTGGGAGACCAAGGTGGGTGGATCACCTGAGGACAGGAGTTCCAGACTAGCCTGACCAACATAGTGAAACCTTATCTCTACTAAAAATACAAAAAATGCCGAGTGCGGTGGCTCAAGCCTGTAATCCCAGCACTTTGGGAGGCCAAGGCGGGTGGATCACGAGGTCAAGAGATCAAGACCATCCTGGTCAACATGGTGAAACCCCGTCTCTACTAAAAATACAAAAAATTAGCTGGGCATGGTGGCGCATGCCTGTAATCCCAGCTACTCAGGAGGCTGAGGCAGGAGAATTGCCTGAACCCAGGAGGCGGAGGTTGCGGTGAGCCAAGATCGCGCCATTGCACTCCAGCCTGGGTAACGAGTGAAACTCCGTCTCAAAAAAAAAAAAAGAAAAAAATACAAAAAATTAGCCAGGCGTGGTGGTGTACACCTATAATCCCATCTACTCAGGAGGCTGAGGCAGGAGAATCACTTGAACCAGGGAGGTGGAGGCTGCAGTGAGCTGAGATCGCGCCATTGCACTCCGGCCTGGGCAGCAAGAGCAAGACTCCATCTCAAATAAATAAATAAATAAATAGCAATAATGATAGTACTCTCTCACAGAGATGTTGTCAGAATTAAATTGATTAATATACATAGAGTATTTTATTTCTTTGAGGCAGGGTCTCACTGTCACTCAGGCTGATGTGCAGTGGCAAGAATATACCTCACTGCGTCCTCAACCTCCCGGACTCAAGCAATCCTTCCATCTCAGCCTCCCAAGTATCTGGGACTGTAGGCATGTGCCACTGTGTTTGGCTAATTTGAATTTTTATTTGATTATTATTGTTTTTGAGATGGAGTCTTGCTTTGTCACCCAGGCTGGGGTGCAGTGGCATGATCTAGGCTCATTGCAACCTCTGCCTCCTGGGTTCAATCGATTCTTCTGCCACAGCCTCCTGACTATAGGTGCTAGGACTACAGGTGCCGCCACCGCCCCCGGCTAATTTTTTGTATTTTTAGTAGAGACGGAGTTTCACCGTGTTAGCCAGGATAGTCTCAATCTCCTGACCTTGTGATCCGCCCGCCTCTGCCTCCTAAAGTGCTGGGATTATACGCGTGAGCCACTGCATCTGGCCAAAATTTTTTTATAGAGATGAAGTTGTGCTATGTTACCCAGGCTGGTCTCAAACTCTTGGGCTCAAGTGAAACTTCTGCCTTACCCTTTCAAAGTGCTGGGATGACAGGTGTGAGCCGCCACAGCCGACCCACATGTAGAATATTTGGAGTAGCGATGTTCATGTAGTGGAGTGCTTGGCAGGCGCGGTTACTCTTATGACCGTCATTGTAAATGAGCTGGCTGCATCTTTAGATTCCTTCCAGTTCATAGAGTCCCTGGTTTTCTGTGGATGGAGTCACTAGACTGTAGTCCTCAGGAGCTTGGCTGGTGGCCTTCTCTGGGCGCCCACCTGCCCTGATGTGACATGGCAGAGTAGGTGTGGGGAGAGAGGGCTGAGGTTGGGGTATAGACTCCCCACACTGGGTGAGATGTAGCCCCAGCCTCCCCCAGGGCCTTCCCCTACTGCAGCCTGGTACCCTCTTTCCTGCAGGACCAGATAAATATCACCCTGGACCACCGCTGCCGTATCTTCCAGAACCTGGATGGAGCCTTGGGTGAGCAGCCCCCACAGGGAGGGGTGGATCCTGAGAGGGGTGATAGGAAGGATTCCAGGCAGGGCCTGAGCCCAAGGAGGAGAACTGGGCTGCTTCCCTCTGGTCATTGTGCTGGGAGGTCACTGACCTCATCTCGGGGTCCGCAGGGGCCACCTGGATGTCCTAGCGCAGAACTGTGTCTCTCCTGGGGGCCAGGGACACGTGAGCATTCAGCCTGGGAGGAGTTGGGGGAGGCACACAGCAGGTGCTGGACACCCTGCCCTGCATGCCAGGTCCTTACAGGTGGGTTCCCTTTCCCCGCTTTCCTGGCCTTCCCACCTTCCAGGGGAAGGAGTCCTGGGCTCGAGGCAGGGACTCAGCTGGTGGGATGGGCAACCTGGAAAGCAGAAAGGCTGCTCTAGCCTTGATGCCGCAAACCTCATGTCAGTGGCTGGTGATGACGTTGCTTTGCCACAGGCCTTGCTGAGTGACCCCAAGCAAGCCACACGCCCTCCGCCAGGAGACTCAGTTTTCTCATCTTTACAAAAGGGAAGTGAGCCACATCCACTGATTGCTGATTTTGTGGGATAAATGGGCCCTTTTGAGAGTCTGATGAAAGCTATGGCTCTGCTCCCAGAAAAATGCAGAAATACCATACTCGTTTGCCTGTGGTTTCTGGGGTTAAGAAGCACTGAGTTCAGATCCAGGCAGGTCAGGAGCTACCTGTTTGCCCCCGCCCCACCTTTTTTTTTTTTTTTTTTTAAGATGGTGTTTCGCTGTGTCGCCCAGGCTGGAGTGCAGTAGCAAAACCTCGGCTCACTGTAACCTCCACCTCCCAGGTTAAGCAATTCTTCTGCCTCAGCCTCCCAAGTAGCTGGAATTACAGGCACGTGCCACCATGCCCAGCTAGTTTTTATGTTTTTCTAGTAGAGACAGGGTTTCACCATGTTGGCCAGGCTGGTCTCAAACTCCTGACCTCAAGTGATCCGCCTGCCTCGGCCTCCCAAAGTGCTGAGATTACAGGCATGAGCCAGTGCCGGGATTACAGGTATGAGCCACTGTGCCCAGCCGAAATACCCATTTTCCTATGTGCAGACTAATAGGGTCAAATATGGGTATTGGGACCCTGTTGCAGAGGCTCCTTCCAATGGGACAAGATCTGCCCTGACCATGCCCAGGCCTCCCCCCATGCTCATGTGACTGGCATTTTCTGAGTCTGCTCTGCCTACTCAGAGAAGGGGCCTCCCAGACTCTTGTCCTTTGGGCTTCTCTGAGTTGCCTGGAGCTAGGATGTCCCAGGTCTTCTCCCAGCCCCTGCTTCTGGCTCTAAGTAACCACAACAATTATAGGGGTTGCCATGGATTCTGTGCTCATGATGGACCAGGCTTGGTGCCCCATGCTTGCCCAACACAAATCGTCCCTCTCATCCCATGAAGAAGGGATTATTCCTATTTTTTTTTTTTTTTTTTTTTTTGAGACGGAGTTTTGCTCTTGTTACCCAGGCTGGAGTGCAATGGCGCGATCTCGGCTCACCGCAACCTCCGCCTCCTGGGTTCAAGCAATTCTCCTGCCTCCGCCTCCCTAGTAGCTGGGACTACAGGCACGCGCCACCATGCCCAGCTAATTTTTGTATTCTTAGTAGAGACGGGGTTTCACCATGTTGACCAGGATGGTCTCGATCTCTTGACCTCGTGATCCACCCGCCTCGGCCTCCCAAAGTGCTGGGGTTACAGGCGTGAGCCACCGCGCCTGGCCATTCCTATTTTTTAGAAGAGGAAACTGAGACTCAGAGAGAAGTGACTTGACCAAGGCCACTTGCAGAGCTGGGATCTAAGCCTAGCTGGTCGGACCCTAAGCTTGACCTCTGGGTCTGATGCTGGGTGGGTCTGTGCTTTCTGACCCCCAGATGAGGTCGTGCTCAAGTTTGAAATGGGCCACGTGAGAGCGAGGAATCTGGCCTATGACACCCTCCCAGTCCTGATCCATGGCAATGGGCCAACCAAGGTAGGGGGGCCCCAGCCCCTGGGGAGTGTGGGAGGGTGACAGAGCTCCACTTTCATTCTCACTGTGACCCCATAGTGTCTCCCTGGGGCTGGGGCCACCTACCTGGGGCCTGCTATGAACTCACTGACTCTCTTCTCACATCTGAGCTCAGCGTGGTGCTCTCTTTTCCCGCTGTGATGGTCAGTGGTAATCTGCCTATTCTCACTGGGCACAGGACACAAAGGAGGCTGCTGTCCCCATCTAGGCCTAGGCTGGGCTACCAGAGCCATCCGCACCCCAGGGCAGACTCTTTTATTCACTCTTATTTCATGTTTGCACAGGACAATAAGACATAGCTGGTCCTAAGTAGGACAGATGTCCTGTGTTTATGGTGATGGAGGGGACTGGGTCCAGATGCGGCCAGGGACAGGATGGACTTCACTGGCCCCTGGGGAACTGGCTCATAGCTCACAGCATATTTGAGTGTGGTCCTTCACTACCTGAATGAGGAAGAGGAAGGAGGATGTGATATGTTTAAAATGCAGATTTCCTGACTCCACCCAGGATCCGTTCAGTTGGAATCTCTGAGTGGGGTGGGACCTAGGAATTTTACAAGCTCCTGGGAGAAGCGCTAGAGCGTCAAACCCTCCCATGCACTCTTTCAGACTGGCTTGTTGATCTCCTGGGATGGAGCATTGTCTCCAAGACCTGCTCAGGGGGTGGAAGGGGGCTGGATGGTGCCAACCCACCTGGTCCCAGGGAGATGTGAGTCCGGGCTGTGGTGGGTGGGACTGGCCGGCTCCTCTGTGACCCCACGTCTCTCCGACAGCTGCAGCTGAACTACCTGGGCAACTACATCCCGCGCTTCTGGACCTTCGAGACGGGCTGCACCGTGTGTGACGAGGGCCTGCGCAGCCTCAAGGGCATTGGGGTGAGGCTGTGCCCAGGCCTGCGCCTGAGGGACATGGGGGGGCTCAGTCCCCCGAGATGGCGAGGAGGATGGGTGATTCTGGAATAGACTTCATTGTCTTTGGTGGAAAGTCAAGGGGTCACCTCCCTGCCTGGGGTTCTATCCCAGTTACCACCCAAGTGCCTCCTCCTGGCAGCCCTCCCAGACTGTATGTCTCTAGCCTCCCCCAACATGTCCAGATTCTGCTTTCTTCTGCCTTGTCCTTCAGGCTCTCCTGCAGCCTCCCCGCCCCCCTTCCCATGAACCACACTCCTCATTTGTGGCTCACCTTGAACACCACACCAGCCATGATCTCCTGATAGCAGGTCCTCAACTGGGTCCTCGCTCCAGGCCTGGGCTCCTGCTGCTCCCTCCCCGGGAGCCCTCCTGCTGCTTCCCTGCTCCCCGGACACCCTGCCTGGAAAGGCCCAGGCACCTTTCTTGGGAAGTCCACATGCTTCTGACTTTGGCTCTGGTTCCCTTGGGCCACCCTGGGGTGGAGTGGCAGCGCTGTGGCAGGACGTGGTTCCCCTGTGGCTGGACACTGCTGGACTCTCATGCCACCCTCCCTGGTGCAGGATGAAGCTCTGCCCACGGTCCTGGTCGGTGTGTTCATTGAACAGCCCACGCCGTTCGTGTCCCTGTTCTTCCAGCGGCTCCTGCGCCTCCACTACCCCAGAAAACACATTCGACTTTTCATCCACAACCACGTGAGTAGCAGGCACTCTGTGGGCTCATCATGTGGCTTGGGTCCAGGGCCCAGCTTCACAAGGTAGCCCGAGACCTCTGAAGGTCTCACTGAATCTAGCTTACCTGGGCCAAATGGCAGTGGGTGGTAGATTGTGTCCTCATATCACTGGGTTGACTTCAGAGTCAGACTGGGTTGAATCGCAGCACTGCTCTTTTTATTGGCTGTGTGACCCTGGGCACATTACTCAACCTCTCTGTGCTTTAGTTTCTCATCTATAAAATAGGGATAATTGTCCAAGCACACAGAAGTGCTATAAGGGCTAAGCAAGTTGACATGTGAAATTCGTAAAAGGTGCCTGGCGCACAGGAAGCACATGGTGCTTCTAGCCATTGTCTTCATTTCCATCCTTGTCCCTGTTAATCCTTCCTAACTGTACCTGGTGGCAGTCAAACTGGTTTTCTTCTTTTCTTTTTTTGAGACAGAGTCTTGCTGTGTCACCCAGGCTGGAGTACTGTGGCACGATCTCAGATCACTGCAACCTCCACCTCTTGGGTTAAAGCAATTCTCCTGCCTCAGCCTCCTGAGTAACTGGGACTACAGGCATGCACCACCATGCCTGGCTAATTTTTTGTATCTTTTTTTTCTTTGAGATGGAGTTTTTCTCTTGTTGCCCAAGCTGGAGTGCAGTGGCTTGATCTCAGCTCACTGCAACCTCCACCTTCTTCTGGGTTCAAACAATTCTCTTGCCTCAGCCTCCTGAGTAGCTGGGATTACAGGTGCCTGCCACCACACCGAGTGAATTTTTTTTTTTTTTTTTTTTTTTTTTTAGACGGAGTTTCGCTCTTGTTACCCAGGCTGGAGTGCAATGGCGTGATCTTGGCTCACCGCAACCTCCGCCTCCTGGGCTCAGGCAATTCTCTTGCCTCAGCCTCCTGAGTAGCTGGGATTACAGGCATGCGCCACCACGCCCAGCTAGTTTTTTTTTTTTTTGTATTTTTAGTAGAGACGGGGTTTCACCATGTTGACCAGGATGGTCTCGATCTCTCGACCTCGTGATCCACCCGCCTCAGCCTCCCAAAGTGCTGGGATTACAGGCTTGAGCCACCGCGCCCGGCCCTTGAGCCACCGCGCCCGGCCTGAATTTTTTGTACTTTTAGTAGAGATGGGATTTCACCATGTTGGGCAGTCTGGTCTCAACCTCTTGACCTCAGGTGATCTGCCTGCCTTGGCCTCCCAAAGTGCTGGGATTACAGGTATGAGCCACCATGCCCAACCCACATTTTGTAACAAAGTAGATCACTGGGTCACATCCAGGAATCAACAGTGTCTCTGGATGTGGTATCCAAGGGGTGGTGGTGGGGTTCTATCCTGTTGTCAGAGGCTCTTAGGAGGTCTGGCCTAGTCAGGGGAGAATGGGCAAAGGATGGCCAGGGAAGGATGTTCCTGGCACAGGGCTAGTGTGGGCAAAGGTCTGGAGACAGGAAAGCAGATGGCCAAGGGTGCCAGGGATGAAGGGGCACAGCCTGGCAGTGTCAGGAGGTGCTGCAGTCCGTGGGTGGAAGCCGTGTCCTCCTCACCACCTCCATTCCCTTTGCCATTCACACCCCCAGGAGCAGCATCACAAGACTCAGGTGGAGGAGTTCCTGGCAGAGCATGGCAGCGAGTACCAGTCTGTGAAGCTGGTGGGCCCTGAGGTGCGGATGGCGAATGCAGATGCCAGGAACATGGGCGCGTGAGTTGTGGGCCGCGGTTCTCTGCACTGACAGCGGCGGGCAGGGGAGCTGTGGCTGTGGTGAGGAGCAGTAGGCTGAGTGATGGGAGTCCTGAAGGCTGTGTGTGCTCTAGCAAGTTCCTGCCCTTCTCTGGGCCTTGGAGTTTCCATCTGTCAAATGGGGAAATAGCCTCTCTCCTGCCAACCCCTGGGCTCCTGAGCAGGGCTGAGCTGCGTCATTTGGGTTCAGGAAGCAAATCAGAGAAAGAAGAAGGACCAGGGGCTGAAGTAGACAAAGGCTGACAATTAGGGAGCCAACCTCAAGTGTTTTCCTTTATTTTAAAAAAAAGAAAAAAAAGTCGGGCAGGGCGGCTCAATACCTGTAGTCCCAGCACTTTGAGAGGCCAAAGCTAAAGGATTGCTTGAGGCCAGGAGTTGGAGAGCAACCTGGGCAATGTAGCGAGACCCAATCTCTACAAAAATAAATTAGCTGAGTGTGGTGGCTCGAACCTGGGGTTCCAGCTACTCAAGAGGCTGAGGCAGGATGATCTCTTGAGCCTGAGAAGTTGAGGTTGCAGTGAGCTTTGATTGAACCACTGTACTCCAGCCTGGGTGACAGGGCGAGCCCTTGTCTCATAAAGCAAAACAAAACTAAAAGAAAGAAGTAGTTTGTGTTGATTGTAGAAGAGTCAGACAGTCCAGCTCAAAGGTTGGCAAACTTCCGGCTGAGGACTAGGTCATAAATCTTTGCAAATTGGCTCTGCGGGCTCTGTTACAACCACTCAACTCTGCCTTAGTAGCACAGAAGCAGCTATGAATAATACGTAAATGAATGAGTGAGGCTGCATCCCAGCAAAATTTCGTTTATGAACACTGAAATTTGACTTTTATGTAATTGCTTTTTGAGACTTGAAGTCACTCTCCTTTTTTTTTTTTTTAAATGGAGTGTCTGTTGCCAGGCTGGAGTGCAGTGGCGTAATCTCAGCTCACTGCAACCTCCACCTCCCAGGTTCAAGCGATTTTCCTGCTTCAGCCTCCTGAGTAGCTGGGACTACAGGCATGCACCACCATACCCAGCTAATTTTTGTATTTTTAGTAGACACAAGATTTTACCATGTTGGCCAGAATGGTCTTGATATTTTGACCTTGTGATCTGCCCGCCTCAGCCTCCCAAAGCGTTGGGATTACAGACGTGAGCCACCGTTACCGTGCCTGGCCTAGCTTGCTGTCACTTTTTTTGTCCAGGCTGGAGTGCAGTGGCAGGATCATAGTTTATTGTAGCCTCAAACTTCTGGGCTCCAGCAATCCTCCTGCCTCAGGCCCCCAAGAAGCTGGGACCACAGGCATGTGCCACCACGCCCAGTTAACTTTTTAATTTTTATTTATTTATTTTGAGACAGAGTCTCACTCTGTCACCTAGGCTGGAGTGCAGTGGCACCACCTTGGCTCACTGCAACTTCCCCACCTGGGGTTCAAGTGATTCTCCTGCCTCAGCCTCCTGAGTAGATGGGATAACAGGTGCATGCCACCACACCTGGCTAATTTTTATATTTTTAGTAGAGGCGGGGTTTCACCATGTTGGCTAGGCCTGTCTCGAACTCCTAACCTCAAGTGATCTGACCAACTCAGCCTCCCTAAGTGCTGGGATTACAAGTGTGAGCCACTGCGCCTGGCTAACTTTTTTATTTTTTTAATTTTTATTTATTTATTTATTTTTTGAGACGGAGTTTCCCTCTTGTTACCCAGGCTGGAGTGCAATGACACGATCTCGGCTCACCGCAACCTCCACCTCCTGGGTTCAGGCAATTCTCCTGCCTCAGCCTCCTGAGTAGCTGGGATTACAGGCACGCGCCACCATGTCCAGCTGATTTTTTGTATTTTTAGTAGAGACGGGGTTTCACCATGTTGACCTGGATGGTCTCGATCTCTTGATCTTGTGATCCACCCGCCTCGGCCTCCCAAAGTGCTGGGATTACAGGCTTGAGCCACCGAGCCCGGCCAACTTTTTTATTTTTATTTTTTGTAGAGACAGGGTTTTTCTGTGTTGCCCAGGCTGCTCTCAAATTTGTGGCTTGAAGTTATCTTCCCGCCTCAGCCTCCCAAAGTGCTGGGATTACAGGCGTGAGCCACCCGCACCTGGCGATGACCTTCATATAATTGTTCTTTTGATTTTTTTTTCCTACAACCACTTAAAAACAAAGAAACAGCTAAGTGCAGTGGCTGATGCCTGTAATCCCCACACTTTGGGAGGCCAAGGCAAGAGGATTGCTTGAGTTGGGGAAGTTGAAGCTGCAGTGAACTATGATTGTGCCTCTACGTTCCAGCTTGGGTGACAGAGTGAGACTCCATCTCTTTTTTTTTTCTTGAGACGGAATTTCGCTCTTGTTACCCAGGCTGGAGTGCAATGGCGCCATCTCGGCTCACCGCAACCTCCGCCTCCTGGGTTCAGGCAATTCTCCTGCCTCAGCCTCCTGAGTAGCTGGGATTACAGGCACGTGCCACCACGCCCAGCTAATTTTTTCTATTTTTAGTAGAGACGGGGTTTCACCATGTTAACCAGGATGGTCTCCATCTCTTGACCTTGTGATCCACCCTCCTCGGCCTCCCAAAGTGCTGGGATTACAGGCGTGAGCCACCGTGCCCGGCAAGACTCCACCTCTTAAAAAAGGAAATTAGCCGAGTGTGGTGGCTCAAACCTGTGGTCTCAGCTACTTAAGAGGCTGGGGCGGGAGGACCTCTTGAACCCTGGAAGTTGAGGTTGCAGTGAGCTATGATTGTACCACTGTATTCCAGCCTGGGCAACAGAGTGAGACCTTGTCTCATAAAGCAAAACAAAAACAAAGAAGTAATTCATATTGATTTTAAAAGAGTCAGACAGTCCAGATCAGAGGTTGGCAAACTTTCTGCTAAGGATTGGATCATAAATCTTATGATTACAGGCTTACCCCTGTAATCCTGGCACTTTGGGAGTCGAGGCGGGCAGATCACCTGAGGTCGGCAGTTTGAGACAGCCTGGCCAACATGGTGAAATCTCGTCTCTACTAAAAAATACAAAAATTCACTGGGCATGGTGGTGTGTGCCTGTAATTCCAGCTACGGGGGAGGCAGAGGCAGGAGAATCACCTGAACCCAGGAGGCGGAGGTTGCAGTGAGCCAAGATCGTGCCACTGTACTCCAGCCTGTGTGACAAGAGCGAAACTCTGTCTCGTGAATGAATTAATGAATGAATGAAAAACATAGAGCTGTTGTGTTCTTAGCCCATGAGCTGTATAAAGGCAAGCAGGGCCAGAGTTTGGCTTACAGACCTCATTTATCTGAGTCCTGTACCAGATAAACAAAAATAATATAAATTTTTAAGGTTTTTGGTACAAGTTACCAAATTGCTTGTTGGAAAGGCAGCCCCAGGAGAATCGCTTAGACCCGGAGGTGGAGGTTGCAGTGAGCCGAGATCGCACCATTGCACTCCAGCCTGGGTAACAAGAGCGAAACTCCGTCTCAAAAAAAAACAAAAAAGAAAGGTAGCCCAGTTTACTTCTCACCCTGGGCCATGGAGGCACCTATGGGCTGTGTTCTTCCCAATGCCAGGATTTTCAGGACACTCAATGCCAGTTGCCAAGCTCTGGGCCTTGAGAGCCCAGCAGTCCAGGGGTTTTAGACTCAGAGTTGGGAGGGACCTTTCAGGCTGCTGGCGTGAACTCTCTAAAGCCCCTTGGCTGGTACGTGACGAAGCCAGACTGTGGCCATAGATGTGGGCAGCTGCCAGGGTGGCTCCAGGATCAAGTGCACTGACCCTGCGTCCTCCTCCTGGCAGAGACCTGTGCCGGCAGGACCGCAGCTGCACCTACTACTTCAGCGTGGATGCCGACGTGGCCCTGACCGAGCCCAACAGCCTGCGGCTGCTGATCCAGCAGAACAAGTAAGGCCGCCCTGTCTTCGTCCACACTGCTCAGGATTGGCCTGGCCCCAGGGTGGGAGCCCTCCTTGCCTTCCTCCTCCTCCTCCTCCTTCCCTTCCTCCTCCTCTTCCTCCTCCTCCTTCCCTTCCTCCTCCTCTTCCTCTTCCTCCTCTTCCTCTTTCTCCTCTTCCTACTCCTCCTTGACCTCACCTGTTACCCAGAGCTGTGGACCCCTAGCCTGATACCCCAGGTTCTGATAGAGAAGGTGTCCTGCCCTGTCTGCTCCTGGATGACCCATGGGAGGGAGCAGGTACCAGAAGAGCCAAACCCCTGACCCCCTGGCCAAGGTGCTGCCTGTCCCAGTGAGGTGCTTGGGGATCCCTGTGTGCAGGTTGAGGGGCACCCTCCTGCCCCATCCTTCCTCCTCCGCCCCTCCTCCCCCTACCCCTGGCTAGTCCTGTCTCCCACTCCCAGTGGGCAGTGACTTCCCACTGAGGCGCTCCCTTCCTCAGGAACGTCATTGCCCCACTGATGACCCGGCATGGGAGGCTGTGGTCGAACTTCTGGGGGGCTCTCAGTGCAGATGGCTACTATGCCCGCTCCGAGGACTACGTGGACATCGTGCAGGGGCGGCGTGTGTGAGTACCTGCAGGGCAGGGCGGGGGCAGGGGACACCTTCATCTGTCTTCTGCCTCGGCTTGTAGAGCTCCCTCCTCAGTATTCCTGTCCTTGTTGCTCTCAAATTCCTGGTGAACCTGAAGCAAGGAACACTGTAGTTAGACACACAGAAGGACTTCCTGACAAAAGGCCCATGTATCCAGGGTGGGCGAATCAAATCAGCATGATTGTGCCCTCCCAGCCTGCGACTTCCCCTTCTCACAGCCCAGATACCAGGCTATGACTCCCTACCAGCAGCCTGTGACCTGCTCCATCTTCCCTGCTGCCAGCCTCAGACCCCCACCCTCTTTCTGTCTCTCCCACAGTGGTGTCTGGAATGTGCCCTATATTTCAAACATCTACTTGATCAAGGGCAGTGCCCTGCGGGCTGAGCTGCAGTCCCCAGATCTCTTCCACCACAGGAAGCTGGACCCCGACATGGCCTTCTGTGCCAACATCCGGCAGCAGGTCAGCCAGGAGGGGGTGGGCACAGGAGGGCCTCTGGATGAGGAAGGTGGGAAGATGGGCCTCCAGCTCTGTGCCTCATGGCAGGCCACCTTGTCACCATAGACCTGGGAGCTCCTGAGATTGTAGCAGGGCATCTCAGAAGCCACCAGGGCCTGGTGGAGGAATGGGGGGGGCATCGGGCACAAGGGCTGATCCTCAGGGGTCTGCAGGGACCATTTTAGCAGACTTGGTTTTTACACCATATATTATATTTACATTTTTGACATAGCCCAAAGAAAACTAAACTTTCCATCTAAAGGTGCTCCAAGTAATGTGCCCAAGAGACACCTCACCCTGTCTCTGCACCCCACCCCATATATTTTTGTAATTTTTTTTTTTTTTTTTGAGATGGAGTTTCACTCTTGTTGCCTAGGCTGGAGTATAATGGCATGATCTCGGCTCACTGTAACCTCTGCCTCCCAGATTTAAGCAATTCTCCTGCCTCAGCCTCTGGAGTAGCTGGGATTCCAGGCATGTGTCACCACACCTGGCTAATTTTGTTTTTGTTTTGTTTTTTTTTTTGAGACGGAGTTTCGCTCTTGTTACCCAGGCTGGAGTGCAATGGCGCGATCTCGGCTCACCGCAACCTCCGCCTCCTGGGTTCAGGCAATTCTCCTGCCTCAGCCTCCTGAGTAGCTGGGATTACAGGCACACGCCACCATGCCCAGCTAACTTTTTGTATTTTTAGTAGAGACGGGGTTTCACCATGTTGACCAGGATGGTCTCGATCTCTCGACCTCGTGATCCACCCGCCTCGGCCTCCCAAAGTGCTGGGATTACAGGCTTGAGCCACCGCGCCCGGCACTAATTTTGTATTTTTAATAGAGACAAGGTTTCTCCATGTTGGTCAGGTTGGTCTCAAACTCCTGACCTCAGGTGATCCACCCGTCTCAGCCTCCCAAAGTCCTGGGATTACAGGCGTGAGCCACTGTGCCCAGTGATTTTTTTTTTTTTTAACATGCAGCAAGATGAAGTTTCCCACTGTGACCAACATTTCAGGACCAGAACACACTCTTTTTCTTATTTTCTTTTTCTGAGACGGAGTCTTACTCTATCCCCCATGCTGGAGTATAGTTGCAAGATCTCAGCTCACCGCAACCCCCGCCTCCCAGATTCAAGCAATTCTCCTGCCTCAGCCTCCTGAGTAGCTAGGACTATAGGCGCCATCACACCCAGCTAATTTTTGTATTTTTAGTAGAGACGGGGTTTCACCATGTTGGCCAGGCTGGTCTTGAACTCCTGATCTTGTAATCCGCCCGCCTCAGCCTCCCAAAGTGCTGGGATTACAGACGTGAGCCACTGTGCCTGGCCCATGCTCCTTTTCTTTTAAGCACTTTTTCTTTCATTCTGTGTTCAGTCCTCTGGGAAGACTTCCCTCATCAAATCCTCAGTGTCAGGCCTGGGCTGGGCCCTGGGGACAAAGGGGTGACTGTACTTGGTCTCTGATCTTGTGAACTTTAATCTGGCGGGTGAAGGAGGCTGCCCTGTTGCCTGTCTGGGAGTGTGCAGGGGAGGGGTGGGGGAGGACCTCTTCCATCGGACCTGCTCTTCCCAGGATGTGTTCATGTTCCTGACCAACCGGCACGGCCTTGGCCACCTGCTCTCTCTGGACAACTACCGCACCACCCACCTGCACAACGACCTCTGGGAGGTGTTCAGCAACCCCGAGGTAAGGCTGGGGTGGGCACACAGCGACTGGGAGCAGAGGGGCCCAGGGATCCTGCAGTCTGAGGCACTTCCCTCTCAGAACCTTACAATAGCCAGGACCCCTGTAGGCTACCTGCCACCCTCCCTTCACCACAGCGGGCTGTAGGCAGAATTTGGGTAGGGAGAGAAGGGTGTCCAGAGAGGCAACACTATCTATTGGAGCGGGGGACCAGGACTCAGAGGCCTGGTTTGTGGCCCAGATTGCCGTCACCTGTGACTTAGCTGAGCCTCTCAACTTTGGGGACCGCAGTTATTCTAGCTCTAAAATGGGTATACTGTCCCAGCCTGTCTTGCCTGTGAGGGTGTTGTGATGATCAGAAGCGGAGACAGTGTGACTACTTTTTTTTTTTTTTTTTTTTTTTTTTTTTTTTGAGACAGAGTTTCACTCTTGTTACCCAGGCTGGAGTGCAATGGCGCGATCTCGGCTCACCGCAACCTCCGCCTCCTGGGTTCAAGCAATTCTCCTGCCTCAGCCTCCTGAGTAGCTGGGATTACAGGCACGTGCCACCATGCCCAGCTAATTTTTTGTATTTTTAGTAGAGGCGGGGTTTCACCATGTTGACCAGGATGGTCTCGATCTCTCGACCTCGTGATCCACCCGCCTCAGCCTCCCAAAGTGCTGGGATTACAGGCTTGAGCCACCGCGCCCGGCTCTTTTTTTTTTTTTAATTGAAACAGAGTCTACCTCTGTCACCCAGGCTGGAGTGCAGTGGTGCGATCTTGGCTCACTGCGGTTTCTGACTCGCGGGTTCAAGGGGTTCTCCTGCCTCAGCTTCCTGAGTAACTGGGATTGCAGGTGCCTGCCACCGTGCCCAGCTAATTTTTGTACTTTTGGTGGAGGTGGGGTTTTACTGTGTTGGCCAGGCTGGTCTCGAACTCCCAGTCTCCCAAAGTGCTAAGATTACAAGCGTGAGCCACCGTGCCTGGTCAGTTGTGACTGTTTTTAGACGCTGGGAGCTCGCAGCTAATGGGTATATGTATGCACATGCCAGCACACAGACATGTACACACAGGCACACACATGTACATACATGTGGAGACGCCACCTCCCATGGGCACAGCTGTGCACCCAGACAACACACACGCACCCAGTGGGCACAGTTGAACACCTGCCTCCCCCAGGCATGTACACCGTCACTCCCACTTTGAGGGTTCTGTGGGGAGGAGCCCTCTTGGAGCATCCCATGCAGTTGAGCCAATGGTGAGCACCCCAGCCTACTTCCCACTCCCTGCAGGACTGGAAAGAGAAGTACATCCATGTGAACTACACCAAGGCCCTGGCGGGGAAGCTGGTGGAGACGGTAAGGGCCATGAGCACCCTCTTGGACCAGCCTCGCCTGCTGCAGGGGGCAGGGCACAGAAGGGAAACTGGCTGCCCTGGGGGAGTAGGGGGGCAGCAGGATTGAAGTGGGGGGCAGCGGGACGGGAGTGGGGGCAGCGGGATGGGAGTGGGGGCAGCGGGACGGGAGTGGGGGCAGCGGGATGGGAGTGGGGGCAGCGGGATGGGAGTGGGGGACAGCGGGATGGCCCTTCCCCTTGGCACTTTCCTGCTGTTGGCTGTGGAGGTCTGCAGGGCCTCTCTCCCTGGCCCCAGCAGGAAGGAGAGAAACATCCCGAATGTGATTGTTCCTGTGGCCCATCATGCCTGGACAGTACGAGGAGTGGCCACTTCTCTCCACTCACTAATGTCTGCTTCCCCCAGGCCTGGGCCTCTGCCCCCTCCCTCCCTCCATGCCTACGTTCCTCTCCTGGCCCTGGTGCTGGTAGCTCTGTGACCTTGGCTGGGAAAGTCTTTGGGCTCTGCCTCCTTCTCCCTTTAGGAGCTCACTCAGTCTCTCCAGGATTGACAAGCCCCTGCTCCCCGGGGACACTTGGAGGGCTCCCTGGCTCGGGTGTGGGGCCCTGCAGAGGGAGGAGGATGTGGGGGACCCCCTTGACTGAGTCCCTGACCTCCCCAGCCCTGCCCGGATGTCTACTGGTTCCCCATCTTCACGGAAGCGGCCTGTGACGAGCTGGTGGAGGAAATGGAGCACTTTGGCCAGTGGTCTCTGGGCGACAACAAGGTGGGACCTGATGCCTGGGCTGGGGCCACAGGGAGGCCACCTCTCCACCAGTGCCACTTACTGTCTGAGGTCTTCTCCTGGCAAGCTGGCCCAACCGCCCTCTCTGGGACTCTTGACACAGGCGTGCTGGCAGATGTTAGAGGGATTGAGTAACCCGAGATGGAGTTGGTCCCCAAGCCGCCAATGCCACTGTGTGGCTTTGAGCCACCTTGGCCGTAAGCTACTAGGTTTTCAGTTCCTGGTTTGCTATTGGAATGGCTTAGCTTCCTTCCCTAGACTTCCCCCGGGAGGAATGGGGAGGAAGAGGCCAAGGTGGGATGAGAGGTTCATCAGATACCAGGAGCAGGTGGCCTGGTGAGTGTGGGAGGCTCTGTGTTCCCTGAGCGAGGATCCCACACCTGTACCTGTCCTGGAAAGTTCAGACACCATTGTTTTTTTTTTTTTTTTTTTTTGAGACGGAGTTTCGCTCTTGTTACCCAGGCTGGAGTGCAATGGCGCGATCTCGGCTCACGGCAACCTCCGCCTCCTGGGTTTAGGCAATTCTCCTGCCTCAGCCTCCTGAGTAGCTGGGATTACAGGCACGCGCCACCATGCCCAGCTAATTCTTAGTATTTTTAGTAGAGACGGGGTTTCACCATATTGACCAGGATGGTCTCGATCTCTTGACCTCGTGATCTGCCCGCCTCGGCCTCCCAAAGTGCTGGGATTACAGGCTTGAGCCACCGCGCCCGGCCTGACACCATTGTTTTCATTTTCTTTTTTTAAATAATAGAGATGGAATCTTGCTACGTTACCTGGGCTGGTCGTAAACTAGGCACCATTTCATTTTCTTTTTTTCTTTAATTAATTAATTTATCTGGAGACAGAGTCTCACTCTCTTGCCCAGGCTAGAGTGCAGTGATGCGGTCTTGGTTCACTCCACCTTCCAGGTTCAAGAGATTCTTATGCCTCAGCTTCCCGAGTAGCTGGGATTATAGACGTGTACCACCGTGCCCAGCTAATCTTTGTATACTTATTTATTTAATTGCGTGTGTGTGTGTGTGTGTGTGTGTGTGTACATTTATTTATTTATTTTTTTGAGACAGTGTCTCGCTCTGTCACCCAGGCAGGAGTTCAGTGGCATGATCTCAGCTCACTGCAACCTCCCCTTCCCGAGTTTAAGTGATTCTCCTACCTCAGCCTCCCCAGTAGCTGGGACTACAGGCATGTGCCACCATGCCTGGCTAATTTTTATATTTTTAGTAGAGACTGGGTTTCGCCATGTTGGCCAGACTGGTCTGGAACTCCTGGCCTCAAGTGATCTGCCGTCCTCAGCCCCGCAAAGTGCTGGGATTACAGGCGTGAGCTACCATGCCCAGCCTAAGGCACCATTTTTTTTTTTTTTTTTTTTTTTAATGATCCCAGAATATTTATTTCCACAGGATTTTGATAAAAGAGCACAATCTTTTTTTTTTTTTTTTTTTTTTTTTTGAGACGGAGTTTCGCTCTTGTTACCCAGGCTGGAGTGCAATGGCGCGATCTCGGCTCACCGCAACCTCCGCCTCCTGGGTTCAGGCAATTCTCCTGCCTCAGCCTCCTGAGTAGCTGGGATTACAGGCACGCACCACCATGCCCAGCTAATTTTTTGTATATTTAGTAGAGACGGGGTTTCACCATGTTGACCAGGATGGTCTCGATCTCTTGACCTCGTGATCCACCCGCCTCGGCCTCCCAAAGTGCTGGGATTACAGGCGTGAGCCACCGCGCCCGGCCTAAAAGAGCACAATCTTTAATAAAAATACACCACTGTACATAAAGGCAACATTACCTAGTAAGCAAACTTTGCCTTCACCCCTTTCACAGAAGAGAAACTTTAGAAAGGAATTTTTCATCTCTTGACAGTTTTACAATATTCATATCTCCTATGCACTTCAAGCCCCAATCCACCTCTCATTTTCTAAGTTCTTTTTTTTTTCTCTGAGATGGAGTCTTGCTCTGTTGCCCAGGCTGGAGTGCAGTGGTGTGATCTCAGCTCACTGCAACCTCTGCCTCCTGAGTTCAAGCGATTCTCCTGCCTCAGCCTCCCGAGTAGCTGGGATTATAGGTGCTGGCCACCATGCCCAACTAATTTTCTGTTTTTTTTTTTTGAAGCGGAGTTTTGCTTATCACCTAGGTAGAGTGCAATGGTGGCCAGGCACGGTGGCTCACGCCTATAATCTCTGCACTTTGGAAAACCAAGTTAGGCAGATCACCTGAGGTCGGGAATTCAAGACCAATCTGGCCAACATGATGAAACCCCATCTCTATTATAAACACACAGATCAATCAGGTGTGGTGGCATGCACCTGTCATTTCAGCTATTCAGGAGGCTGATGCAGGAGAATCGCTTGAACTCGGGTGGTAGAGGTTGCAGTGAGCCGAGACTACCGCATTGCACTCTAGCCTGGGCAACAGAGTAAGACTCTGTCTCAAAAAAAAACAAATTAAAAATTTTTTAAAAAGAAATAAAATTAGTTGGGCATGATGGTGTGTGCCTGTAGTCCCAGCTACTTGGGAGGGTGAGGTGGGAGGATCACTTAGGCCTGGGAGGTTGAGGCTGCAGTGAGCCAAAGTTGTGCCACCGCACTCTAACCTGTGCAACAGAGCGATACCCTGTCTCCAAAAAAAGAAGGTCTTTCTTTCCATGACTTACCTAGTAAGTCAGGTAGTCTCCCTTTTGATCAACCCAAAGTCAACTGATTAGGGGCCTTAACTGTATCTGCAAAGCCCGTTCAGTTTTGTCATGTAATATAACATGGCCCTGTCACATCCCCAGGTGGAGGGGGAAGGGAGTAGACAGAGCCTGGGGCCATCCTAGAGAATTCCACCTAAACACTGGCCTCGGTCACCTCCAGGACAACCGCATCCAGGGTGGCTATGAGAACGTGCCGACCATTGACATCCACATGAACCAGATCGGCTTTGAGCGGGAGTGGCACAAGTTCCTGCTGGAGTACATTGCGCCCATGACCGAGAAGCTCTACCCCGGCTACTACACCAGGGTGGGCAAGCCTGGGCATAGCCAGGGTGCGGGGGCAGTTGGGTGGGGTGTGGGTGGAGTGACTGAGACCGGTGGGGCTGGGGTGGGAGGTGAAGGTGGGAGGGACAAGGATGGGAGGGGCAAGACAGAGAGGTGGGGATGGCGTTGAGGGTGGAGAGGCTGTGAAGAGCAGGGGTGGGGTGGGAAGTGGTGGAGAAGCTGGGAGGGGTGGGGAGGAGTAGGGGGCTTGGGAGGGGCAGGGGTGAGTAGGGGTGGGAGGCCTGGAGGGGCAGGGGGAACAGAAGTGAGGGAGTGGAAAGACTGGGAGGGGCAGGAGTTGGTGGGGAGGTGGCGGCCAGTGTGGGGCAGGGGGACGGGGTGGGAGGGGTGGGGTAGAGTTGGGGGCATGGGTGGAAGGGCCAGGGATAGGTGGAGGCTGGAGAGTCTGGCGGGGCTGGGGGGCTGAGGAAGGGGTGGAGGAGCATTCCCAGCTTATGGGAGCGGCCTGGGTATTTGGTCCCCAGGCAGGAGTGAGGTCTCACCATACGCGACCCCTCCATCTGGTAGTGCGTGTGAAGGCAGGGTGCTGGGGTGGGCACCTGGAGCCAGTCAGCCTCTAGCCTGTGGCCTATGACCTCAGTCCCTTTTCTTTTTTTTTTTTTTTTTTTTGAGGGGGAATCTTGCTTCATCTTCCAGGCTGGAGTATACAGTGGTGTGATCTCAACTCACTGCAACCTCCACCTCCCAGGTTCAAGCAATTCTCTGCCTCAGCCTCCCAAGTGGCTGGGATTACAGGAGCTCAACACCACACCTGGCTGGTTTTTTTTTGTATTTTTAATAGAGATGGGGTTTCACCATCTTGGCCAGGCTTGTCTTGAACTCCTGACCTCGTGATCATCCCACCTCAGCTTCCCAAAGTGCTGGAATTACAGGTGTGAGCCACTGTGCCCAGCCTTTGTTTTTTTTGAGATAGAGTTTTGCTTTGTTGCCCAGGCTGGAGTACAGTGGCATGAACTGGGCTCACTGCAACCTCCGCCTCCTGGCTTCAAGCAATTCTCCTGCCTCAGCCTCCCCAGTAGCTGGGATTACAAGCACATGCCACCACACCCAGCTAAGTTTTTTATTTTTAGTAGAGACAGGGTTTCACCATGTGGGCTAGGCTGGTCTCGAACTCTTGACCTCAAGTGATCCATCAGCCTCAGCCTCCAAAAGTGCTGGGATTACAGGCATGAGCCACCATGCCTGGCCAAACCTTAGCCATTTTGAATCTTTCTTCCATGTCATTAACCCTGCCTCAGTGGCTCCTGCACCAGCCCACCAAAAAAGCACCACTCCCACCACCGTGCTTAGCTGGCCAGAGTGCCCACTCCCTCCCTAGCTAGAAGCCTGTGTGCCACGCCTGGGCCCTGCCTCTTCCAAAGCAGCCTTCTTCCAAAAGTGAGGAAAACCCTGACCTCCTTGTTACTGACAGCTGTCATTCATCCTTTGAATGCTTACTGTGGTTCCATGTAAATAATGATCTGGCTGAGCTCGGTTAATTGTCACCATTCTTTCCAGTGCTGTCATTCCCATGTCTGTCTGCTGCCACTTTGGCTCTCTCCAGTCCTCATTCAGTTGCTTCCTCAGTCCCCTGGTTTCTCCAGATACCTCCCGGCCATGTGCCTGGGTCCTGCCTCAGGGAATCCAGCCTGGATAGTTGCCAGAAAGGGCTGTGAGGATTAGATGCCTCCCTTTGTCTTTGTCTTTTCATTCCTTCCTTTCCTTTTTTTTTGAGACTGAGTTTCGCTTTTGTCTCCCAGGCTGGTGCAATGGCACGATCTTGGCTCACTGCTGCAACCTCCGCCTCTCGGGTTCAAGCGACCCTCCTGCCTCAGCCTCCCAAGTAGCTGGGATTACAGATGCCCACTACCACGCCCAGCTATTTTTTTTGTATTTTTAGCAGAGACAGGGTTTCACCATGTTGGCCAGCCTGGTCTCAAACTCCTGACCTCAGGTGATCTGCCCCTCTCAGCCTCCCAAAGTGCTGGAATTACAGGCATTCCACCGTGCCTGGCCTCCTTCCCTTTGGTTTCTCCCTCCTTCCTTCCTTCCTTCCTTCTTCCTTCTTCCTTCTTCCTTCTTCCTTCCTCCTTCCTCCCCCTCCGCCCCCTCTTCCTCTTCTCCTTCCCTGTCTCTCCTCTGTCCATACATTTTTGTTGACAACCTTTTCTGTGTCAAGCAGTTGCAGGCACTGAAGCACACAGCCCCATGCAGACTTGCCCACTGTGAGCTGACCTGCAGTGACCAGACGAAGCCCCGTTTGTGCACCCGCCTCTCCTGGCCTTTGCGGCCTCCTCGACTAACATGGGCTCTCTCGTCCCCCTGCCTTGGTACAGGCCCAGTTTGACCTGGCCTTTGTCGTCCGCTACAAGCCTGATGAACAGCCCTCGCTGATGCCGCACCATGATGCCTCCACCTTTACCATCAACATCGCCCTGAACCGAGTTGGGGTAGACTATGAGGTGAGCCGGAACCAGCCAGGGTCAAGGGGCCAGCAGTGGGTTTGAGGAGGGCTGGCTGGGGAGAGCCTTCAGGGTGGTTGAAGCAGAGGGCCCTGGGTAGCCAGCACCAGAGAACCAGAAAAAAAGGGTATTGGCCCTTGGGAGGGCTTCCTGGAAGGGGCCACGATTTAGTAGGAGGGAGGAGCCAGGCTCCTAAGCTACAATTTTAAGAGATTTTTGGGCTGGGCATGGTGGCTTATGCCTGTAATCCCAGTAGTTTGGGAGGCCGAGGCAGGCAGATCACTTGAGGCCAGGAGTTTGAGATCAGCCTGCCCAACATGAGGAAATCCCATCTCTACTTAAAAAATACAAAAATTAGCTGGGCGTGGTGGCGCACACCTATAATCTTAGCTACTCAGAAGGCAGAGGCATGAGAATTTGTTGAACCCAAGAGGTGGAGGTTGCAGTGAGCCAATATCATGCCATTGCACTCCAGCCTGTGCAACAGAGTGAGACGCCGTCTCCAAAAAAATAAAAAAAAGGTTTTTTTGACTTAACCCTGGGCTGGGTGCTATGAAGAACACTTATAAAAACGGCTATAATCTTTTTTTTTTTTTTTTTTTTTGAGGCAGGGTCTCGCTCTGTCACCCAGGCTAGAGTGCAGTGGCAGGATCACACATCACTGCAGCCTCCACCTCCTGGGCCCAAGCAATCCTCCCACCTTACCCTCCCAAGTAGTTGGGACCACAGGCGTGTGCCACCATGCCCATCTAGTTTTTTTTCTTGTTTGCAGAGATGGGGTTTTACTATGTTACTAAGGCTGGAGCTATAATTTTTTGAGCTTACAACATATCAGGCATCCCTAATCCAAGGATTCTCAACCAGGAGCAATTGTGCCCTCCAAGGGACAATGGCAATGCCTGGAGACAGATTTGGTTGCTACGGCTGTGAGGGGCTGCTGGCATCTACTGGGTAGAAGTCAGCGATGCCCAGGGCAGCTTCCACAACTAAGTGTCTATAGCGGTGAGGCTGGGAAACTCAGTCCTCAGCTCTTATTTGTAACATGTTCCTCACAACCCTGTTCTGTTTAACCCCTATTTTACAGAAGGGGAAACCGAAGCTCAGGTTGCTCACAGTTAGTCAAGAGTGGGGTTGGCCGGGTGCGGTAGCTCACGCCTGTAATCCCAGCTCTTTGCGAGGCTGAGGCGGGCAGATCACAAGGTCAGGAGATTGAAACCATCCTGGCCAACCTGGTGAAACCCTGTCTCTATTAAAAATACAAAAACTTAGCTGAGTGCAGTGGTGCGTGCCTGTAATCCCAGCTACTCGGGAGGCTGAGGCATGAGAATCACTTGAACCTGGGAGGTGGAGGTTGCAGTGAGCCGAGATCGCGCCACTGCACTCCAGCCTGGCAACAGAGTGAGACTCAGTCCCAGAAAAAAAAAGAGAATGGAGGTGACATTTGCCCACGGCTGCCTGACTCCAAAGCCAGAGCTCTTGATCACTTACTCTTTTTGTTTTGTTGAGTTTTTGAGACAGAGTCTTACTCTGTCACCCAGGGGCCCAGGCTAGAGTGTAGTGGCATGATCTCAGGGCTCACTGCAACCTCTACCTCCCAGGTTCAAGTGATTCTGCCTCAGCCTCCCGAATAGCTGGGATTACAGGTGCACACTGCCATGCCGAGCTGGTTTTTGTATTTTTAGTATAGATGGACCTTACCATGTTGCCCAGGCTGGTTTTGAACTCCTGACTGTAAAGTTTATTCTCTGCAGATTTATTGCCGAGTTAAAAACGAGGAAACTGAGACCACCACAAGAAAATTAGATGCCAATTTATTCAGCTCCTGGGAAAGGTTCTGTAATCCCTGGGCTCTCCCAGGGAGGTCACACTGATTCCGCTCAGGAGTTGGGATTTATAGGCAGTGAAGGCGTTCCATTGGATTTGGAGAAACAGAATGTGGACGGGGTGAGCTGCTATTGGTAGGTAGGTAGGATTTCCGGTGAGCGAGCTAAGTGCTGAGTGCAGAGGAGATTTCCAAGGGTGGGGCTAGGTACCCAGAGCAGAGGGGATTTCCAAGGCGGAGCTAGATGATTGACATAATGTAAATTTTCAAGCGGGGCGGGAGATGGGCGAGTCCGAACTCCCGGCCAGGCAACCAGCCTTACACTGACCTCAGGTGATCCACCTGCCTTGGCCTCCCAAAGTGCTGGGATTACAGGCATGAGCCACCGTGCCCGGCCTCTACTCTTTATTTAGTGTCTTCCTTAGGCAGCTTGTGGCATCCCCAGGTCAGCAGTGCTGAGGGCCACTTGGCCGTGACATACCGGAGAACAGACGGGCAGCGGGCGGCAGGGAAAGGGCACTGATGCTTTCTGTCTCCCAGGGTGGGGGCTGTCGATTCCTGCGCTACAACTGCTCCATCCGAGCCCCGAGAAAGGGCTGGACCCTCATGCACCCTGGACGACTCACGCATTACCACGAGGGGCTCCCCACCACCAGGGGCACCCGCTACATCGCAGTCTCCTTTGTCGATCCCTAATTGGCCAGGCCTGGCCCCCTGGGACCTTTCTTCTTTGCCGACAACCACTGCTCAGCAGCCTCTGGGATCTTGGAGTCCCAGGGAACCCAGTCCAGCCTCTTGGCTTTTGACTTCCATTGCTCTTGGAACCACCAATCAGAGAGAGTCAGAGAGATTCCTGCAGGCCAAAGGCGGGGCACACCTCCATGGCTGGGGCTCTCCGTGGTGCTCTGGACCCAGCACGTGGAGACACCATTCACTTTTACTGCTTTGTAGTGACTCGTCCTCTCCAACCTGTCTTCCTGAAAAACCACGTCCCCCTACCTCTACCTCTTCCATGGGGTGAGACTTTACAGACCAGGGGCTTCCCCAAGTTGCCCAGAAAGATTATCTGGATGAGAAGCCATGGCCAGAGCTTCTCCCAGGCACAGTTGTAGCACCAGGGACGTCCGCTTCAAGTTTTGGGATAAAGACACCTGGATGACACTCAAGTGGCCGCCCTGAGTCTGGGACTTCTGCCTCCATGGCTGGTCATGAGAGCAAACCGTAGTCCCCTGGAGATGGAGACTCCAGAGAACCTCTTGGGAGACAGAAGAGGCATCTGTGCACAGCTGAATCCTCCACTTGCCTGGGGGGAGGGGAGTGACAGGTCCACACACTGCACTGGGTCATCCTGTCCTGGATGCCTCTTAACAGAGGGACAGACTGTCAGAAACTAGAGAGTTTCTATTAAAGGTCATTTAAACCACTGAAGGGAAGATGCTCTGGATGAGTGGGTGTGTGACTTGGTGTGAGTGTCTATAGGGAGGGATTTTAAAAGCCCTCTTTTTTTTTTTTTTTTTAAGACAGAGTCTTGCTCTGTCACCCAGGCTGGAGTGCAGTGGTGTGATCTTGGCTCACTGCAACCTCTGTCTCCCAGGTTCAAGCGATTCTCCTGCCTCAGCCTCCTCAGTAGCTGGGATTGCAGGTGCTTGCCACCACACCCAGCTAATTAAAAAAATATTTTTAATAGAAATGATGTTTTACCATGTTGGTCAGACTGGTCTCAAACTCCTGACCACGTGATCTACCCACCTCAGCCCTCCAAAATGCTGGGATTACAGGTGTGAGCCACTGCATTCAGCCAAGAGTCCTCTTTTAAGAGCCTTTGAGAAAGGCCATGCTGGCTAGGCCTGGTGGCTCAAGCCTGTAATCCCAGCACTTTGGGAGGCCATGGGAGGTGGATCACTTGAAGCCAGGAATTCAAAACCAGCCTGGCCAACATGGTGAAACCCCATCTCTACTAAAAATATAAAAATTAGTCGGGCATGGTGGCAACTACTTGGGAGCCTGAGACAGGCTAATCGCTTGAACCCAGGAGGCGGAGGTTGCAGTGAGCCAAGACTGCACCACTGCGCTCCAGCCTGAGCAACAGAGCAAGACTGTCTCAAAAAAAATGGAAAGAAAAAGGAGGCTGGGCGTGGTGGCTCACGCCTGTAATCCCAGCACTCTGGGAGGCTGAGGTGGGCAGATCAAAAGGTCAAAAGATCAAGACCATCCTGGCCAACATGGTGAAACCCCATTTCTACTAAAATACAAAAATTAGCTGGTCATGGTGGCACGCGCCTATAGTCCCAGCTACTTCAGGAGGCTGAGGCAGGAGAATTGCTTGAACCCGGGAGGCAGAGGTTGCAGTGAGCCAAGATCTCGCTCCTGCACTCCAGCCTGGTGCCTGGTGACAGAGCAAGACTCTGTCCCCCCCCGCCAAAAAAAAAGGAAAAAAGAAAGGCCGTGCCAGCAGAAACAGGGACTGCTGTGTCCCAAACCTAGTCCCATGGGATCTCCATGTCATTTGTGTGTTTTTTAAACTTACACTTCAAGTCAGGCACTGGCTGCCCAGGGCACACTTCTCACACTTTTGTGAGGCCTGCATCAGGTGACACCTCCTCCCTGAAGTCTTTATTGACCACTCCTCCTGTAAACATGAACGTGGCAGAACAGGGGGAACTGGTGTTCTGGTGGCCTCCACTATACCTTGGGCAGACTATTCTAGTAACAATGGCACTTCAGGGCATTTATTAACAATAAAAGCTAATATCTGGCTGGGCACGGTGGCTCACTCCTGTAATCCCAGCACTTTGGGAGGCTGAGGCAGGCGGATCACGAGGTCACGAGATCAAGACCATCCTGGCCAACATGGTGAAACCCCGTCTCTACTAAAAATACAAAAATTAGATGGGGTTGGTGGCATGAGCCTGTAGTCCCAGCTACTCAGGAAGCTGAGGCAGGAGACTGGCTTGAACCCGGCAGGTGGAGGTTGCCGCAAGCCAAGATCGTGCTATTGCACTCCAGTCTGCGTGACAGGGTAGACTCCATCTCAAAAATAAACAACAACAAAAACAAAAATGGCCAGGCTCAATGGCTCACGCCTGTAATCCAAGCACTTTGGAGGCCAAGGCGGGCGGATCACCTGAGGTCGGGAGTTCAAGACCAGCCTGACCAACATGGTGAAACCTCATCTTTAAAAAAAAAATAAAAAATAAAAAAAATTAGCTGGGTGTGGTGCTAGGCACCTGTAATCCCAGCTACTCAGGAGGCTGAGGCAGGAGAATTGCTTGAACCCGGGAGGCAGAGGTTGCAATAAGCCGAGATCATACCACTGCACTCCAGCCTGGGTGACAGAGCAAGACTCTGTTTCAAAAAAAAAAACAAAAAAGTATCTATCCATCCCTCACCATGGCCTGCTCATTGTACATGCCAGGCACTTAGTACACAGCCCTCTGGGGTAGGAGCTGTTATTACAGATGAGGAAACAGACCCAGAGAGACCAAGTCATAGGCCTAAGGTCACACAGCAAGTAAGTGGTAGAAATAAGAGATTTGAGTATGATTTCAGCCATTGGTAAAATCTGGTCCCTCCCTCAAGGCAGTTGTCAGCAGTGGGGACAGGAAAAACCAAATGTAGTTCACTGTGGCCTCTGTGATAAATGCCACCATGCCTGTTACAACAAAGAAGAGTAGGAGCAGAAGGGACCAGCTGACTTGCATAGCACAGTGCTCCTTATACAAGGGCGATTTTGCTCCCCAGGAAACATTTGGCCATGTCTGAAGGCATTTTTAGTTGTCACAACTGGGGAAGGGGGATCGCTACTGGTATCTAGTGGACAGAGGACAGAGCTGCCCCTAAACATTCAATACAACACAGGACAGTCTCTCCCTGCCCTTTAAAAAAGAATGATCCAGACCACAATGTGAGGAGTGCAGAGGCTGAGGAAGCCTGATAAATGGTAAATTCAAACAGCACAATTTTTTTTTTTTTTGAGATGGAGAGTCTCACCCTGGCGTGAGCCACTATGCCCGACCAGCAATTAATCTTAGTAATATATATATATATATATATATTTTTTTTTTTTTTTGAGATGGAGTTTCGCTCTTGTTACCCAGGCTGGAGTGCAATGGCGCCATCTCGGCTCACCGCAACCTCCGCCTCCTGGGTTCAGGCAATTCTCCTGCCTCAGCCTCCTGAGTAGCTGGGATTACAGGCACGCGCCACCATGCCCAGCTAATTTTCTGTATTTTTAGTAGAGACGGGGTTTCACCATGTTGACCAGGATGGTCTCGATCTCTCGACCTCGTGATCCACCCGCCTCGGCCTCCCAAAGTGCTGGGATTACAGGCTTGAGCCACCGTGCCCGGCTCTTAGTAATATATTTAACCGAAATGATCCAAAATAGTATCACTTCAACATGTAATCAGCATATAAATATTAATGAGCTAATAGTCTGGCACTGTGGCAGGTGCCTGTAACCCAGAATTTTGGGAAGCCAAGGCAGGAAGAGATTGCTTGACTCCAAGAGGTCAGGAGTTCAGACCAGCCTGGGTAACAAAGTGAAACTCTTCCCCATGTCTACAAAAAATAAAAAATAGGCGTGGCTTCCAGCATCTGTGGTTTCAGCTACTTGGGAGGCTGAGTAAGGTGGGAGGATTGCTTGAGCCCAGGAGTTCAAGGCTGCAGTGAGCCATGCACCACTGGCACTCAGCAGCCTGAGTGACAGAATGAGACCCTGGCTAAAAAATAGGTTTTTGTTTTGGGTTTCTCTCTGTTGCCTAGGCTGGAGTGCAGTGGCATGATCTTGGCTCACTGCAACCTCTGCCTCCCGGGTTCAAGCGATCCTCCTGCCTCAGCCTCTGGAGTAGCTGGGACTACAAACGTGTGCCACCAGTTAATTGTATTTTTAATACAAGCGGGGTTTCACCATGTTGGCCAGGCTGGTCTTGAACTCCCGACCTCAAGCAATCCACCTGCCTCGGCCTCCCAAAGTGCTAGAACTACAGGCATGAGCCACCGCGCCCAAACTATATATATATATATATATATATATATATATATATATATATATATATTTTATATATAATATATAAAATATACATTTTTTTTTTCTAAAAATTGAGATAGTTTAACTTTTTTTTTTTTTTTTTTTTGAGACCGAGTTTCGCTCTTGTTACCCAGGCTGGAGTGCAATGGCGTGATCTTGGCTCACCGCAACCTCCGCCTCCTGGGTTCAGGCAATTCTCCTGCCTCAGCCTCCTGAGTAGCTGGGATTACAGGCACGTGCCACCATGCCCAGCTGATTTTTTGTATTTTTAGTAGAGATGGGGTTTCACCATGTTGACCAGGATGGTCTCGATCTCTTGACCTCGTGATCCACCCACCTCGGCCTCCCAAAGTGCTGGGATTACAGGCTTGAGCCACCGCGCCTGGCCTGTCCTAAGTCTTATAGCGCATCTCGGTTTGCACTGGCTCAGGACTCGAGAGCCACATGTGGGGGGTGGCTACTGTACTGGCGTGCTCAGGCTTGGAGCCTTCCCTGCGGAGGCCAGATCCTGCAGGGGACCTGTTTGCTGCAGTTTCCTAGTGTCTGGCGCATCAGGAGGGGCTCGCTGTCTGGGCAACCATGTGAGCTTGGGTAACCTCCCCTTTCGGTCTCCTGGGAATGCTGAGATTAAACACAGCGGTGGATGTTAGAGACGCAGTTCGGTGACCGGCACTGATTCGTTGTTGCTGCTGTTCTTCAAGGGCGGCTGAAGGGCAGCAGGCCCAAGCTCGCTTCTGTCAGCCTAGGCACGGACCTCTAGAGAGCGCTCCTCTAAGATTACAGAATGTAAGTCTGAATTCCAGAGCTGGCAGAGGCCCCAGGGTCAGGATCTAGGGCAGCTGGCGAAAGAGAGGGAACCTCTACTCCACGCCCTTGGTTTTTTGCCCCTTGACAGCTTGAGGCCCCGCCCTGCCCCGCCCCGCCCCGCAGCTCCGGCCAGTGCTCGCTGGAACTACAGCCCCCATGATGCAGCGGGAGTCCGAGCCTATCGGCTTGGGAAGCTCCGGCGGAGGAGGTGCCATTGGAAGCGCCGAGTCGCGGGGCCTCAAAGGCGTAAGGAGTAGGCGGGGCGAGCCAGCTGGGCTTAGGGCTCACCGGCTCACCCGGGTCGAGGGGCGAGCCTGAGGCTACGGGTGACGCGCGCGTCCACTTCCCTTCTCCCGCCTCCCCCCGGGGCGGCGCTCGCTGGTGACGCAGTGAGTGTGATGGCCGCCGCGAGGCCGGGAAGGTGAAGGTGAGAGGGCGAGCAAGCCGGGGTGGCGGGGACTGGCCCGGCCCGGCCCTGCGAGTCCTGAGCAGCTTGACGTGGGCCGACGACACTCTGGGGCCACGGGGGTCTGGGATGCAGTCAAGCGGGGGTCCCCACTCTTCGGCCTCGCCTCCGGGCCCTACCCTGGAGGCGAGAGGAGGGGGCGGGCCGCAGGACCTGGGACTGGGAGGCGGGCTCCCCTGCAGCTCCTCATCGCCCCCGCCTTTCCACCCTTCACGCCACGTTCTACTCCTGCCCCTTCTCTATTTTCCATCCAGTTTTCATTTTGCCAGCTTTTACTCAGCATGCAATAGGTGTCCACGTTCACCGCGGGAGCGTACTGCCCTGCCCTCCCCACTTTGGGCGCCTTCTGCCCTCTCGTTCAACCCTATTTGCTTGTATGACTTGTCAGCGGACTGTAAGGCCCTGGAGGGCAGGACTGTTTCTTATCCATTCCTAACCTGGCGCCTGACACACATAGAGAAGGCACAAAGATAAATGTTGAATAAATAGCTGTTTAAACGCACGAAGGCAAAACTGTCTGTTACCCCCTCTGGTAATCCTTCATTGCCCTCTTTCTTTAAATTCTCAATCATCTCTTTTTCTTCTCCCCAGGTAAGGACTGATTGTCCGCTTCCAGTGTCCAAGGTTTAGGGGATTGAGGGAGGAAGGCAGCTCAATATGGTTAAAAAAGGAAGGAGGCCGGTCATGGTGGCTCACACCTGTAATCCCAGCAATTTGAGAGTTCGAGGCGGGCGGAACACCTGAGGTCAGGAGTTTGAGACCAGCCTGGCCAACATGGTGAAACCCCGTCTCTGCTAAAAATACAAAAATTATCCGGGCTTGATGGCACACACCTGTAATCCCAGCTACTCAGAAGGTTGAGACAGGAGAATCGGTGGAACCTGGGAGGCGGAGGTTGATCCGAGCTCTCTTCACTGCGCTCCAGGAGCTTCGGAGTCAAATGGAGCTAATATTTCGGATCCCAGCTTAGACAATTGACTAACAGTCTATAAATCTTCAAGTATTCCAGGCCTCTGTTTTCCCCTTAGAATTGAGAATTAAGTGAGATACTTTGTAGCAGCTGGACACATTGGCTTTCAATCAGTTCTTCTGTAACTCAGTAGTCAGCTGTTCCCCAGTCCTCAATCCCAGTTTTTTTCCTGGCTTTGCTCTGTCCTCTCCTCTCCCTCTCTGGATGTACCTTTCCCAGGGCTCCTTCAGGGCCCTTCCTGGTGCCTTGAACCCACTCATGGCGGAACACATGCTTGTGCACAGCCAGGATTGGTCCCACACCTCTGCGTTTTTTTCCCCAGGGCACCTCCTCACATGCCAGCCCAACTCCCCAGTACCTCAATGAGTAAGCTTCCCTCAGGGGTGAGTTTGTTTGGCTTGAAACCTGATTAGACATGTTTTGCACACCAATGTTTTTTTTTTTTTTTTTTTTGATACCTGGTCTATCTCCCTTTTCTTTTCTAGTAGGTCAGGATTGGTGGAGTCAACACAGTCATCAATAGCCAACCTCAACCTGAGACAAGACAGAGGAGAACTCAGAATCTTTTTGTCTTCTGGACTCCAGCCATGTCCATGATGCCTACCCTGTGAAGATCTCTCACCATCCAAAAAAGTAAGTGGTAGCTGTGATTTCTGGCACCCTAGATTTGAGTTGAGTGGACAGGGGCATGCTCTTCTGGACCTCTAGTGGCAAGTCTCTTGGATGGCATCCTCTTTGTATAGAGCCACAGCTTTCCAACCTCTGTTGAAAAACAATTGTATCTCTTTTCTACTTCCGTGAAGGATTTCGCTGGTTGCTGAGAGAGCCTGTTTAAAAGTTGACAGTTCAGGAAGTGGCTGGGATCTTTTGGGCTCCCTGAATAATTAGTCTCTCTCTCCCTCATTTGGTCTTCTCTGCTGTGCTGGCTCCTCCCCATCTCTGCCCAGCAGAGGTTGGCTCCTTGTCACTCCTAAGAGTCTGCTCTGCCCCGTTTACCCTGTATACTCTTTTGTTTCAATTTCTCTGCTTCTTCTCTGTTCCAGTTGTGCCAGCAGACGATCCGTGGATCCATTTATTTTCCCTGCTAGGAGTTGCTTTACATAAAACTGGGTAAGGAGGTGGTGTGGATTCAGGGACTGTGCTTGGGATCCAGACACACCTTCCAGTGAATTTTGCTGTCTCTACACCCAAGATACCTAATGCTCCTCAACTAATAGCCTAGGTTGAAGCAAAGCTTTTGACCACCTTGGAGGGCTAATAGCAGTTTCCGTTTAGAATTGGGTTCATTTCTGGTCTTAGCTTAATATTTGTTAATCCTGTGCCCCTGGTACTTTTTGGGGGTAGGGATTGGAGAGTACCAGAAAGAATGAGCCTTTCCCTAAAGCATGATCCTCAGGATTTTAAAGGCTATTACACAGAAAGATTTTTTCATTGGATGTATTTGTGAAATGCTGCATTCAGTACAGTTAAACTGGTGTCTTTACAACAAGCCTTACTTCCCAAGCTCTTTGCTGTGCTCATGTGCTCCACTGGAGGGGAATGGTAGCATATGGTGTTTTACAAACTGATTCTACTATTGAACCTTCTTTACATGGGATATTGGGTGCAAGTGGAGTTCTGTGGACCACACTTTGGGAAATTCTGCCAGAAACTATCCAAAACTGTAATCTCCAGAGCACGTATGAGGCAGTCAGCTTGAAGTGTGACACTTAGCATGTAACTTATGTTGGAGCTGGGCTCTCAGGCTGTGCTTGTGGGATGGTTCTCATGTGCCTGTGGTGAGCTCTTTGGTGAAGCAGAGATTATCAAGGCTTTCCGGAGGAGGAACAGGAACCCAGGTGCCTGCCCCCCATCTCTCTGGAGGGGTAGAGAGTCAAAGCTTTGAGATAATTGGGGGACACAAGGTGTGATAAAAACCAGAAGTCTGTGGGGTTGTTTGTTCTCTGTGAGGCATCAGGGGAGGCTTCATGGAGGGGGTGACACTTGAGTTGGGTGTAGAAGGACAGTAGGAGTATGTCAAATGGGTGGGAAAGGAAGGAGGATTCTAGGTAGAAAGCAGTTTATGCAACACACGTGGAATCTCAACTTGCAAAATTAGCAGAGCAAGATAAATCAGGCAGAGTTTGGAGAGGTTGACAATAGGTTTTATGCCGGGGGTTTGGAGGCAGCTGCAGGCTGAGTAGGGGTGAGAACAGGGAGGCTCCTGGACCGGCTGAGCTTGTAACCTGGAGCTCCCAAGCTTCTACGGTGTACATGCTGTTGAGTCTTGCAGTTGGTGAGCACTAATGCTTTTGGTTTCATATCCCCGGGCTTGCAAACATTGACCAGAACTTAAATGCACCTGCTTCTGAAAGTCCAGGTGATAGCAGGGAACTTGCTTCCTGCAGCAGGTCACTTCTGCAGTGGGGTGTCGCTGATTCTTCCCCAGCTGACCTGTTTATTCTGTCTCTGTGGTAGCGGGGAAGGGCGTGGTGGGTGTGGGGTAAGTTGGCGGAGTTGCTTTTGCCCTCCCTGAAGGCTGGGTGTTCATGGAGAGAGTCTTGTGATCTTGCTGGTAGAGTGTGTTGTTGTTATTGCTTTATAACATGTAAAACTGCTTTAGCTCGTACTGTATGTGAAACATGTTGCTTGCATCAACTTTAGTCTTCTCACGATTTAGATGGTATTGTGGTAGTGGGATATTGGTTTTCATCCACGGATCCAGGCTCATAACTCCTATCCATAGCCCTTGTTATGGTCTTTTGTTATAATGTTAGATGTGTTAGGCCTCAGGGACAGGCCTCTGATCTTCTTCTACTTTTCTTCCACCCTAATCTTTCCCCACCTTTCTGATTGTGGCTCTTAAGACTCTCCCTTGAGAGTGCTGGGCCATATATCCTGGGGGAAAGAATGCTGATGTCATGAAACTTCCATAAAAGTCCAAGAGGACAGAGTTCAGGGAGCAGGTTACTGAAGAGAGGCTTGCTTAGGGAGGGCACAGAAGCTACATGCGTCTTCTCCCATACCTCCCTATGCATCTCTTATTTGTATCCTTTGCAATATCCTTCATAATAACCCTGTAAACATAAGTGTTTCCCTGATTTGGGTAAGCTGCTCCGAAAAATTAATTGAACTCAAAGAAGGGGTGATGTGAAGCCCAGCCTGAAGTCATTCGGTCAGAAGTTCAGGAGGCCCCGACTTAAACAACTGGTGTGTTTGAGGGGTGGTGGTGGAGACGGGGGCAGTCCTGGAGACTGAGCCCTCAATGTGTGGGATCTGGCGCTATTTCCAGGTAGACAGTGTGGGAACTGACTGAGGACACCCAGCTAGTGTCTGCTGCTTGGTGTATGGGAAGGAGACCCCCCTCATTTTGATCACAGAAGTCGTCTTTTGTGTTGATGATTGTGGTGTGAGGGTACAGAGAAAATGCAGAGAGTTTTTCTCTCCAGTAGGTATCTTGTTTGTTGTACACATGAAGAAATCAAGGTTCCGGGATTAAATAACTTGCTTAAGTTTAAGCAGCCCAAAAATAATACAGTCACAATATGAACCCAGCTCTGCCCGATTCCAAACCTGTCTTATGTAGTGCTGCATCGTGCCCCATCCCCGATCCCTTTTCTTTTTTCTTTTCTTTTTTTTTGTTTTGTTTTGTTTTGTTTTTTTGAGACAAAAAAACCCAAGCTGGAGTACAGTGGTGAGATCTTGGCTCACTGCAACCTCTGCCTCCCAGGTTCAGGTGATTTTCTTGCCTCAGCCTCTGGAGTAGCTGGGACTACAGGCATGTGCCACCATGCCCAGCTGATTTTTTGTATTTTTAGTAGAGACGGGGTTTCACCATGTTGGCCAGGCTGGTCTTGAACTTCTGATCTCAGGTGATCTGCCCACCTCAGCCTCCCAAAGTGCTAGGATTACAGGCGTGAGCCACTGCATCCAGCCCCTGATCCCTTTTCTTTTCCTTTTGGGTGGCTTTCGTCTTGTGCCTGCCACATCCCCTCCCCCCCCCCTTTTTTTTTTTAATTTGAGATGGAGTTGTTTCGCTCTTGTTACCCAGGCTGGAGTGCGATGGTTCGATCTCGGCTCACTGCAACCTCCACCTCCCGGGTTCAAGCAATTCTCCTGCCTCAGCCTCCCGAGTAGCTGGGACTACAGGCGTGCGCCACCATGCCCAGCTAATTTTTTTTAGTATTTTTAGTAGAGACGGGGTTTCACCATGTTGACCAGGATGGTCTTGATCTCTTGACCTTGTGATCCACCCGCCCCGGCTCCCCAAAAGTGCTGGGATTACAGGCGTGAGCCACTGCACCCGGCCCATCCCCTCTTTCTCGAAGTCTGATCTGCCAGGCCATGGCAAGCCTGATTTCAGTGCATCTCCTTTCCTGCTTTGGAAGAGTCAGAGTAGCATTTTCTTTCCAGTTTCCTTCTTCAGAGCTGTACTGTCTTTAAGCCCTGGACATACGGCTTCCATGCTGAGCAAACCTCTCATAGTTGTGGCATTATGCTGAGGAGGAATGTAGAAACGGAAGTGGTATCACTTTCTTCCCTCATTTCCAGAAGAATCATTAATATTGCACAAGAACTTGTCAGTTTGGGCAAACACGTGGGTCCCCATCCTGCTTTGGATCAGCCTGTCTTTCTGCCCACCCTTTGGGATGGTTAGTTCCTAAAAGTCTGTTTTGGCACTCAGTCTTCATGCACCTCTTCCGGGTATTCTTTGTGCTTCGCAGTTCCTTGTGCAACACCTTTTGACCCCATTTGGAAGTTTCTCACGTGTGCTTGCTCGGGAGCAACACCTTATTTCCCATCTAGAGAGAGTGAGCTTGCTGCTGGGTGGAGAACTGAGGGCCCTAAGATTAGGGTGGCTGGGGAGGCAGTGACAGACCCAGGTGCAGTCAGCTGTGCACAGGACCCCTCATCCAGGAGGTCTTTGCCCTTTGACTTCCCAGGATTGGTGGGCTCTGCCTGGGAAGCAGTTTTCACCGTGGTGGGAACTCTGAGGAGGGACCTGGTTGGGGTCCACTTTTGGGATCGACATTTCCAGTCTTACCCTGGACTCTACCTTCTAGTGTATCAACCTCTTTTTGATCTTTTTTTTTTTTTGAGTCGGAGTGTAGCTCTATTGCCCAGGCTTAGTGCAATGGCATAGTCTTGGCTCACTGCAACCTCCACCTTCCCAGGTTCAGGCAATTCTTGTGCCTCACCCTCCCAGGTAGCTGGGATTACAGGTGCCTGCCACCATGCCTGGCTAATTTTTGTATTTTTTTTTTGAGACGGAGTTTCACTCTTGTTACCCAAGCTGGAGTGCAATGGCGCTATCTCAGCTCACCGCAACCTCCGCCTCTTGGGTTCAGGCAATTCTCCTGCCTCAGCCTCCTGAGTAGCTGGGATTACAGGCACGTGCCACCACGCCCAGCTAATTTTTTGTATTTTTAGTAGAGACGGGGTTTCACCATGTTGACCAGGATGGTCTCGATCTCTCGACCTCGTGATCCACCCGCCTCGGCCTCCCAAAGTGCTGGGATTACAGGCTTGAGCCACCGTGCCCGGCCAATTTTTGTATTTTTAGTAGAGACAGGGTTTCACCATGTTGGCCAGGCTGGTCTCAAGTAATCTACCCACCTAGGCCTCCCAAAATGCTGGGATTATAGGTGTGAGCTACCATGCTCAGCCTCTTTTGACCTTTGACCAAAGACCTCTAGCACTTTGGAGTCACGTCTTATGGCCTCTAAAATGTAAGTGTTATATGAACAGATAAGCTACAAAGATGTGTGGGATTGAGTGAGAGCAAGAGAGACAGTCACACAAAAATAGACTATGATAATATAACCAGGCTCGGTGGCTCATGCCTGTAATCCCAGCGCTTTGGGAGGACGAGGTGGGCAGATCACTTGAGGTCAGGAGTTGGAGACCAGCCTGGCCAACATGGTGAAGGCTTGTCTCTACAAAAAATGCAAAAATTAGCCGGATATGGTGGCATACGCCCAGAATCCCAGCTATTCAGGTGGCTGGAGTGAGGTTGTAGTTAGGCACTCCAGCCTGGGTGACAGAGTGAGACTCTGTCTCAAAAACAAAGACTGCTAATAAACAAAATGTTGGCTGGGCATGGTGGCTCACGCCCTTAATCTCAGCACTTTGGGAGTCCAGTCCAAGGTGAGAGGATCATTGGAGCCCAGAAGTTTAAGATCAGCCTGGGCAATAAAAAAATTAGCCGGGTGTCGTGGGTGCATGCCTATGGGCTCACGTACTCAGGAGGCTGAGGTGGGAGGATTGCTTGGGTCCAAGAGGTTGAGGCTGCAGTGAGCTGTGAGCACTCCAGCCCAGGTAACAGTGAGACCTTGTCTCAAAATAAAAAGTAAGTAAGCAAACAAAATGTTAATATTGCTTATCACAAAATGATGGGTCTATGGGTTTTTTTCCCTTTTGGTTTCCAAGTTTTCTGTAGCACACATGCTCTACTAGAAGAGACCAATAGTTTTTTTGTGGGTGTGTTTTTTATTTTATTTTTTGAGACTGAGTCTCACTCTGTCACCCAAGCTGGAGTGCAGTGACAGGATCTCCACCTCCCAGGTTCAAGTTCACTTCAGCCTCTGCCTCCCAGGTTCAAGCTATTCTCCTGCCTCAGCCTCCTGAGTAGCTGGATTACAGGTGTGCACCACCATGCCCAGCTAATTTTTGTGTTTTTAGTAGAGACTGGATTTCACCATGTTGGCCAGGCCAGTCTCAAACTCCTGGCCTCAAGTGATCTGCCCACCTCAGCCTCTCAAAGTGCTAGGATAACAGGCATGAGCCACTGAGCCCAGCCTGTTTTTTTTTTTTTTTTGTTGTTGTTGTTGTTTTGTTTTGTTTTGTTTTGTTTTTTGAGGCAGAGTCTTGCTGTGTCGCCTAAGCTGGAGTGCAGTGGTGCTATCTCCACTCACTGCAACCTCTGCCCCCTGGGTTCATGCAATTCTCTGCCTCAGCCTCCCATGTAGCTGGGATTACAAGTGCCTGCCACCACGCTGGCTAATTTTTTTTGTATTTCTAGTAGAGATGGTGTTTCACCATCTTGACCAGGCTGGCCTTGAACTCCTGAACTTGTGATCCACCCGCCTTGGCCTCCCAAAGTGTTGGGATTACAGGAGTGAGCCATCGCGCCCGACCTGAGACACTGTTCTTATCTCACCATCCTTTTTTCTAGTCCTGGAGGTTGCAGTGAGCCGAGATCCCTATATTCTCAATGGAACAGAGAGCTAGTCCCTCTTCTCCCCCAAGCATTCCACCATCCCCCAAGCAGGACGTCCCGAGGTAGATGTTGCTGTGTTCGCTCACATTGGCTTCTCTTGCAGCGCAATGTCCCTGCTCTTCTCTCGATGCAACTCTATAGTTACAGTCAAGAAAGATAAGAGACACATGGCTGAGGTGAATGCTTCCCCTCTCAAGCACTTTGTGACTGCCAAGAAGAAGATCAATGGCATTTTTGAGCAGCTGGGGGCCTACATCCAAGAGAGCGCCACCTTCCTTGAAGGTAAGTTGGGCACCTGCTCAGGCAGGCCCACTCTTACCTGTTTAGATATTTAGCTAATGGAATTTGGGGATGGCGAAGTTCAGCTCTGCTCCTAGGGAACTCATGCCCAGATAGCCTCAGAGATGCTCTCTCTGCTCTTGAAAATCATGTGGAATTGGAATCTGAGGAGATTAGGCCAGGAAGACAAGAGAACGGCCATTTAGTAATTAATTTAAGAAGTCCACACATTTCGTTTTGTTTAATCATTAAAGATAGGTGAATCTTATCCCCATCCTCAAGGCAAGCAAATCGAGGTTTGAGAGTTGTCAGATACCTTGTAAGTAACATGTCAGGGCTTTACCCAGGTGTCTCCAACTCCGGAGCCCACGTGTTTTCCTTTGCCTGGTTCTGGCTGCCATTAATACCAGGCACTGTTTGAGTGTCAATAATGCCTGACCAGGGTGCCCTCTCTGTGACATTTTTAGATTGCTGACAGAACTGTAGGAAACTTGTGTCACCTATGCTGTTTCTACTAGTTACTAATTTGAGCTCAACCTCTAGTTCCTTGTTTATCAGCAGAGAAGGACTGGTTCCCAGAGCCCTGCTCATTTGAGTGTCAACTCCAGCACTGGCTTCCTCAGGCTCCCTCTTTAGATGGGCACTTTGGCTCCAGGTCCTGAGATTGTCTGTGGAGACCCAGTAGCTGAGTCTTGGTTTCCTCACTTGTGAAAGTGGGGCTCAGGTGTGAATAGGGGTTTCAGATTCTAGTCTGCAGAACCCTAGAAGTTCGGTGGTGGTGCTTCAGGGGTTGGCCCCTGGCTCAGGGGGCACCTTCTTTTCATTCTGCTTTCAGCTAGAGTAGCTTGGTTTCTCATTGTTTTACACCCCAGGCTGCTACACAAGGCTCCCTTTGAAGAAAGAGACTGTCCCGTTTCATGCCCTTGTCTGTGCCCTGCCTTTTGAGTGGCACTTGATGCAATAGAAGGTGTTTCCTAAATACTTGTTGAACTGAAGAAATCTGAGTTTTAAAGTAGTATGATTGGTGGTTGGTAGTTGAAATAATCCCAAATCATTGCCTGTTTATCAGTGGCTATGGTGTGCCAGCCCTGTGCCAGGTGCTGGGCATGCAGAGATGGGGTAGATCAAGCGGCTGCCCTCCGGGATCCCAGAATAACCCTCTTGGAAGCTTTGAGTCACTTGCTCAGATGATGCTATGGACAAACACATGCTTCATGCAGCTGTTTATGTGAGGCGTGCTTTGATCTCTCTGTGTGTGAAAATATGATGCCTCCCCTGTTGTTTGAATGGAAGGGAAAGAGCTGGAGTGATTTTGAGCTGTGTTGGGTCAGGGAGGGAATAGTGGAATGGGTCTTGCCTGGGGACCATTTCTAACGGGAAGCTTGTTGGCCTGCTGGTTGTCACTTTTTTTTTTTTTTTTTTTTTTGAGACGGAGTTTCGCTCTTGTTACCCAGGCTGGAGTGCAATGGCACGATCTCGGCTCACCGCAACCTCGCCTCCTGGGTTCAGGCAATTCTCCTGCCTCAGCCTCCTGAGTAGCTGGGATTACAGGCACGTGCCACCATGCCCAGCTAATTTTTTGTATTTTGAGTAGAGAGGGTTTCACCATGTTGACCAGGATGGTCTTGATCTCTCGACCTCGTGATCCACCCGCCTCGGCCTCCCAAAGTGCTGGGATTACAGGCTTGAGCCACCGCGCCCGGCCTCACTTTTTTTTTTTTTTAATTGCATTTTAGGTTTTGGGGTACATGTGAAGAACATGCAAGATTGTTGCATAGGTACACACATGGCAGTGTGGTTTGCTGTCTTCCGTCCCCTCACCTGTATCTGTCATTTCTCCCCATGCTATCTCTTCCCACCTCCCCACCCCCCTGGTTGTCACTTTTAAGTGTAGTCACATGCTTGAGAGCCAGCTTCCTCCAAGGGACATTCCAAAGGCCATGCCCAGGTGCCCATATAAGGGAGGAATATTGATGCATGTGGGGCAGAGGTGACTGGTGGACAGAGCAGGCGGGAGATGGGGGTGTTATTGACTTGGTCACTTCCTTTCATGGTGCTGGCTGCAGGGGAAGCTCACTGGGCGGGCCCTGACACGCCCTTGTCATGCTTCAGATGCTTTGGGAGTGTTCTCAGGGCTGGGGCCTGTCTGTCTGGTGGTTCACATGAGTGTGCAGAGGGACCAAACACTCTTCTGTGTCCCAGCTGGCCGAAGTACCTGTCTGGTGTGAGTCCTAGACAGGATAGTGGTAGGATCTCACGTAGTTGCTCCTGTGTGGAGTACTTTGTTAGCCATCTGCTTTTTAAGGGCACTGGGAAAAAGCAGTGCAGTGATCCAAGGGTCTGCTCACTTGGCAAATATTTGTGCACCTGCTGGTGCTATGATTGGATAGTGTGGCCGTCATGAGGTAGATGACGCAGACAGGTGAGCTAGACAGTTACCTTATGGTGAGGTGAGAGCTGAGATGGGAGAAGTGTAGGGTGCTGGGGCACACAGAGAAGGGTCTGGGGCCCTGACTTAGGTTCAGGGGGTGGACAGAGAAGGCTTCCTTGGGGGCAGTGCTGTCTAAGCTAGACTTGAGGCCAAGTGAGAATGAGCCAAGCTGCTCCAAGGCAGTGTAGTGTGTAAGTTCTTCAGAGACTGGGGAAGGGGTTTGGGCAGCAGGGAGTGGAGCCAGAGGGCTGAGGAAGCTGGCGAGTTTGGGGATATGGTGAGGGAGACTGTGAGGCACGGGTGGCAAGAGGCCAACAGGGCCAGGGCAGGGAGGGCCTCGAGAAGTGACACAGAGTGGTTAAGTGCCTGGACTCAGAGCCAGTCTGCCTAATTCAAATCCTAGCTCTGCCTTTTAGTAACTTTGGGGCCATGTTAACAAAGAGGACGAAAGGAGAGAACAAATTTGAAAAGTGACTGAAACAGTGCCTGGCATGTAGTAAGAATTCTGTAAATATTTGTTAAGAAAAAATAGACAAGGATGGCAGTTAACATTCAAGTATTCATCTTATACCAGCCGCCATTCATAGCACTTTGTGTTTTAATTCACGTGATCCTCACAGTGGTCTGGTGAAGTAGGTATTGTCTTATTGCCATTTTGTGCCTAAGGAAACTAAGACCCAGAAAGGTTCTTTTTCTTAAGGCCACAGAGCTAGAAAGTGGTAGGAACCAGCTTTAAAACCAGGCAGTCTTGCTCCTGAGCCATGTTCTTAACCACCACACCGTGGGGCCACCGTAGGGGATTTGGAACTCAGCCTGTCGGTTGCAGGGAGCCAGAGGTGGACTTGTTTAGGGTGAGCAAGGCCGGCGCTCTGGCCCTTCCAGACTTGTGACTGGAAGTCCTCTACCACATGGTGACCCATTTCGATTCCCACCTCCAGACACCTACAGGAATGCAGAACTGGACCCTGTTACGACAGAAGAACAGGTTCTGGATGTCAAAGGTTACCTGTCCAAAGTGAGAGGCATCAGTGAGGTGCTGGCCCGACGGCACATGAAAGTGGCTTTTTTCGGCCGGTAGGTTGTTGAGGCCCCCACTCTTTCTTCCTGGCTGGGAGGGAGGGAGGCCCTTTGTGCGAGGTCACAGAACGTTCCAGGGCAGGGACATGCCTCAGAATTCATTGCTTTCCTTTTAGTTTATATTTTATTTATGTATTTGATTTTTGAGACAGGGTTCTCACTCTCTCACCCAGGCTGGAAGCTTATTACAGCCTTGAGCTCCCTGGGTGGGAGAAAGAATCACCTGAGCCTCCTGAGTGGCTGGGACTGCAGGTGCATGGCATCAAGCCTGACTAATTTTTTTTTTTATTAATTTTCTCACTGTGCTTAAAAGCACATAATACAAAATTTACCACCTTAGTGGGCTTCCTGTCTCACTGGGTGCAGGTAAGGTCATTGTAGTTCTGCTCTAGTGATGTGGCTGGGAAACTTCAACTCAGAGTGAGAAACATTGTTTAGCACAGGTTGAAAGCTCTGAGACTCAGAGCAGATGAGTCTGCTGAGCTATTTTCAAGAAGCAGAAATGGCCGGGTGCAGTGGTTCACACCTGTACTCCCAGCACTAGGAGGCTGAGGCAGGAGGATTGCTTGAGCCCAGGAGTTTGAGACCAGCTTGAGCAACATGGCAAGACCCCCGTCTCTACAAAAATTTAAGAAATTTAAAAATCAGCTGGGCGTGGTGGCACGTACCTGTAGTCTAAGCTACCTGGGAGGCTGATGTGGGAGGATCGCTTGAGCCCTGATGGTCGAGGCTACAGTGAGCTATATTGCTGTAAATAAAACAAGGGGGAAATGTGACATGATAATTGCCCTATAAACTGCATACAGTGAGCTGTATTCATGCCACATGTCCCTGCACTCCAGCTTAGGCAACAGAGCAAGATCCCATATCAAACAAACAAACAAACAAAAACATCAGAATACATGAAAGGGGTGTGATAGGTAAGAATGAGAAAGTAGGCCAGGTACGGTGCCTTACACCTATAATCCCAGCACGGTGGGAGGTCAAGGTGGGTGGATCATCTGAGGTCAGGAGTTCAAGACCAGCCTGGCCAACATGGCAAAATTCTGTCTCTACTAAAAATGCAAAAATTAACTGGGCATGATGGTATGCGCCTATAGTCCCAGCTACTCGGGAGGCTGAGGCAGGAGAATCACTTGAACCCGGGAGGAAGAGGTTGTTTGCAGTAAGCCGAGATTGCACCACTGCACTTGAGCCTGGATGACAGAGCGAGACTGTCTAAAAAAAAAAAAAGAGAGGCTGGGTGCTGTGGCTCACGCCTGTAATCCAAGCACTTTGGTAGGCTGACGTGGGTGGATCACCTGAGGTCAGGAGTTCAAGACCAGCCTGGCCATCATGGTGAAACCCCATCTTGTAAAAAAAAAAAAAAAAAGAAACCAAAAACATTGTATTTAAAAAAAAAAAAGAAAAGAATGAGAAAGTACTCTTGCCTTTAGCCTGGTAGTTGTCAGCTGGGACTGGCAAGGTGGAGCTTCATGTGTCAGGAGGAGCGTGATGGGAGAAAAGCAGTGGAACATGCCCTGTGTGGGCAACACTGGGGTCATTTAGACTAAAGAAGTCGCCCTAGGGGGTGAGTTGGTGGTTTCAGGTCGGCCTGGAGTAAACTTTGGAGACAGTCTCTATAAGTGACGCTTGCTGAGGGTAGCTGGGTGATTGAAGGGGCAGACAGTGTGCTGTGGGAACCTCTTGCAGATTGATCTGAAATGATGAACCAAGGACATGTCGCAGATTTGGGCCTGGGGTGTTTATTCATTTTAATAAACAGCACCTACTCTTTGTCTCTCAGTGCTGTCTGGGCACTGGCGACATTGCAGTGAATAGGGCTTTGGCCCTCCAGGCTGGTATCTGCATTGTGAAAGTGATTCAGGTCAGATAGAGGTGGCTTTGCTGACAGCTCTTACTTCCTCCTAGGACGAGCAATGGGAAGAGCACTGTGATCAATGCCATGCTCTGGGACAAAGTTCTGCCCTCTGGGATTGGCCACACCACCAATTGCTTCCTGCGGGTGGAGGGCACAGATGGCCATGAGGCCTTCCTCCTCACCGAGGGCTCAGAGGAGAAGAGGAGCGCCAAGGTGAGGGTACCAGGCCAGCTCTCAGCCCCGCGTCTGCTGGTGGGGCAAGTCGTCGATTGTGACACGGCTGACCTCATCGCTAGGGAGAGGGCAGCACTGCCCTGTGGAGGTGAACTGGGAGACCCTATTTTAGACGAACTTTTTGAAGGATGTGAGAACTTCTGGGGGCTGGCTGGGCAGTTTTCAGAAACGTGGACCACCAAAAATGAGAACTCTGCTGTTCCTCGTACAGCTCTGAGTGGCCACTGACCTCTCTTTGCTAATTAAGGAAGACGGTGTGTGCCATGTTCTTCTTGGGATTTTGCCAGAGAGGGAC